TAATGCCAGTATCTTACAAAAAAAATATTAAAATGTTGCATAATCTCAACATATGTATTGATTCCATTCACATTTTTATTGAATGACATTTACTCATTTTGAGTCCTTTCTTCTTCTCATTTTCAAGTGGGCTTTAAATAACTATTCTTCTAGAGAATATCTACTGAGCTCTTTTTACAAAAATTTCTCAGACTGCCAATTGGCATAATATTCAAGTAACAATACTGCATGATGAGTCCCTATCTCTTCATTTGCCAGTTCAGTCCCTAATAGTTGAAAGAGCGATACATTATCTTATAAAAATAATTTGTAAGATTTGTTTGTGTATTTTAAGCAAACTCTAAAAGTGTTGACTTTGTCTTTTCCAAATAGAATTCAGACTTTTTTGCCACTTTCTTTACTATTCCATCTGACTTGTTGGTTTTTACCTCTTTTTGGAGATTACAGACAGGATTTTTTTCGGACAGAAAACCATAAATCTCCTCCACTGAGGAGAAGCTTTGGCTCTGAACCTGAAAACATATGTTTCACACAGCAACAATATATATTCCCCCTCCTGTAGTAGCTGAGACTTAGAGGACTAATGTGATGTAGTCTTTTGTAGGCAGATATACAATTTTTTGTGTATTGCACAGTACAAACAAATAAAAAATGTTTTAGAGGTGTTTATTTCAAATTCTTAGTTCTATGTAATCACCAAGTGTGATGATCAAAAATTATCCCTGAATTCTCATGTAATCTACGCCAGATTCTGAGATCTGTGTGTGTCTTTTTACACAGAATTGTGTGCTGACACCAAAATAAGAAGTCAACCTTAAAGCCCTTGAAAAGTCCTAGGCCATCACTTACCCAGGCCTACATTTCTTTACCTCCCATCTGCTGACCCACGTAAATTTGGCAACTTGTCCTTTCTTTTAGTTTAAGTACTTGAACATTTTACCAGTGTATGAACAGAAAAAAAGTAGGGGGAATAAATTAATAATAAATTAATAAATAGGTACATTTGCTAATTTACTGAAACTCCTTTTATGTAAGGCACATTATCAAGTAAACTGTCCTGCAACTATAATTGGTGTATTGCTGATTCAAAGGCAAAGATTATACTGTTACAATGTATAATTCATTTGTTGGCATAACATTACACTTTGATTAATAGGCAAACACAGTTTACCTTCTCAGCAATTAATTTTTTTATATATCCTACTTGATAAACTTGATTGTGAAAATTATTGTATCAATAAAGTATGATTTCTCTCATAAAAGTATCCTAAATCTAAACATTTTCTTCAATCTTTTTCAAGAAATTGGCACTTACATTATATGTATCATAGTATGCTTTGATTCCTTGAAAAGTTTAAGCAATATAAATCTATTTCCTGAATAGGCTTAAAATGCATCTCCAGTAGTCTCTGCTACTTTAGTGTTAAATAATGAGGTAGTACATTGTTCCAAAATTGTTCTGAATTATGTAAACCATTTGCTACATGATGTTTGGATTTTGTGTTTTGTTTAGAGCTCTTTGGTAAAGCAGTACTTCTTCCCAACTTTTCTGGCTTCCTGGGTTTGCTTTTCTTTTCTTGAAGTTTATGACTATAGCTTTTCTTTTTATCTTTTGCTTTTTCCTCTTCTTCTTCCTCCTCACCCTCATCTTCTTCTCCCTCATCCTCTTCTTCCTCCTCTCCTACATCCCCTTCCTCTTCATCTTCTTCCCCCTCTTCCTCTTCACCTTCTCCCCCCTCTCCCTCTTCTTCTTCTTCCTCCTCGCCCTCTTCTCCTTTTTCTTCTTCCCCCTCTTCCTCTTCTTCTTCCTCTTCACCCTCTTCCTCTTCTTCCCCCTCTTCCCCTTCTCCTTCTTCCTGTCCTTCCTCTTCTCCCTCCTCTACCTCTTCTTCTTCCTCTACTGTTTCCTCATCCCCCTCTTCTTCCACTGCCTCTGCTTCCACTCCTTCTTCCTCATCTTCCTCTTCTTCTTCCAATCCCTGTTCTCCCTCATCTTCTCCAACAGTCTCTTCTTCCTCCCCTACTGCCTCATCTTCTTCCTCTCCTTCTCCCTCTTCATCTTCCCCTTCCTCTTCATTTTCCTCCCCTTCTTCCTTTTCATCATCTTCCACCTCCTCCCCTTCTGCTTCTGCCTCTGTTCCTTCCTCTTTCTCATCCTCTGTTCCCTCTTCCACTTCATCCTCCCCATCTTTTTCTTCTTCCACTCCTTCCTCACCCACTTCCCTAGTTTTTGTATTTGCATCTTTCTCATACTGTTCTTCTTCAGACACCTCTTCTTCCCTCCCTGACAATGATTCTCCCAAATCCTCCTCTTCACCCTTTTTGTCTTTTACATTCTCCCTTTCTTTGTTCTCTTCTTCATCCTTTTCATCTTCTCCTTCCTCTTCTGCTTCTACCTCTTTTTCTTCCTCTTCCTCTGTATCTTCCCCTTCTTCCTCACTCTCATCTCTTCCCTCACTTTTGACCTGCTCTTTTTCTTTTTCAGTGCCTTCCTCTTTCTCATGCTTCTCCTCCATATCCTCCGTTTCTCCCTCACTCAACATTTCTTCTTCCTCTATCAACCTGCCTTGCTCATCTCCTTGATCTTTGCCATCTTGCAGGCTGACCTCTTCAATCTCCTCTGCACCCTCATTCCCACCGTCTCTTTCAGCCTGTGACTCTTCATTTTCTTCCTCATTATCTTTTCCCTCTTCATCTTTTTCTACCGAAACTTCATCTCTATCTTTTTCAACCTCACTTTTTTCTTCCTCCCCTAGTTTACCTTCACTGTCAATTGTTTCATCCAGTTTTTCTTTTTCACTTTCACCCTTTTCACTGCCCTCGTTCTCCTGCTCCTGATCAGATTCCTCCTCATTCTTAATTTCTAATGGCCTGTCTTCATTCTTCTCACTGGCTTCACTCTCCTCCTCCTGATCAGATTCCTCCTCATTCTTAATTTCTAATAGCCTGTCTTCATTCTTTTCACTGGCTTCACTCTCCTCCTCCTGATCAGATTCCTCCTCATTCTTAATTTCTAATGGCCTGTCTTCATCAGATTTAGCATCAGAGCTTGTTTCTTCCTCATTCAGGCTTTTTAAATCAGTCTGTTCTACACATTGTTTCTCATTGTTTGTAGCTTTCATCTCCTCAATCTCACTGTCTTTCTCTAAGTCCAGATGTGTCACTGTTCTCCTTGCCCTCTGGACAACTCTGTGTTCATAGTGGACCTCTTCCTTAAGTATGTATTTTTGGAGATCATTATTACTTTCCTCAGTTGAAGATGAAGTTACAGATATTTGTTTCAGAAACTGATGGGTTTTTTTAAGCTCCTTCTGTTCTGCACCACTTTCTTCTCCTGTGACATTTATTCTTTCACACTTGTCAGATTTTTCAATGCCATCCTTTAATTTGTTTTGACTTTCTGTTGTTTTCTGACTCCCTTGCTTTTTAACAGGAATGTATTCTTGTACAATTAATGAATCAGTCTGGGGCTGATCCCTGGGAGCAGAAGGAAGTACCTCTATTTTAAGGGATTGCTTAGATTTAACAGCTTTTGGCTTTTTATTGGAAGAATTTATTTTTTCAGTCAGAATTTGATTTTCAGTGGGAAGATTATATGTCCCATCCTCTCTGAAAAATTCAGGATTTTCCACACACTCTTTTTCCGTTTTCACTAATACGCTTTTTTCATCAGTAGTTTCTTGAGCACCACTTTTCAAAGTAGTATCACTTTGTGCATGCTCAGATTTACCTTTCTTTATACTTTTTCTGGCCACAGGCTTCCCTATAAAGGCACTACTGTTTTCTAAATCTTGTCCAGGTGACTCTGAAAGTGAAGGTTGCTTTTGTAAAGATACAGACTCTGACACTGAGCCCTCCTTTGAGAAATCAGAATCCTTGTTTTCCAGCCCACCCTTACCATCTCTTTTCAGTTTCACATTTTTATTGTTCTTCTATTCCACATGAGAAGCAGAAAATTAAAAAGAAAGAAAAAAAGCATTAAAGACAAATGACAGCAAAAGAAAAAGGTTACAAAAGCATCTGAACAAGAAAAGAAACAATTTGTGAGAGGGGATTAAAAGACAGCATAAAAGGTAGAATATTTCACATAAAATGAATTTACAAGTGAACATATTAGAAGAATGTGACATCTTGTTGATCAGTGTAGTACACACTTTTCTCACTATCCAAGGAAATTCAGCAAGAATTGCCAGTACCACATCCCATAAACCAGAGCAGGAGCAATGCATGAGGCTGTGCAAGCAGAAGGAAATTAATACATTCCCTTACACCTTCCTCTTTTGGAAATCTTCTGATGTGCTCACTGTTATGCCCTTTCTAAGAAGTTTGAAAATCTGTTGTCTTTCTGCTTTAAATTTTACACTAATGTAACAAATTATGAATAAAAACTTTAAAAATCTAAAATAAAATTTTAATGAAATATTAAAAAGTGCTGGAAAGCTGGGATCACTTTAAGAGTGAAATAGGAAGGTATTACAAAGTACTTTAATTTCATAATTAAGACCAGTATTATTGCTCCTTTAAATATACTTCATGGTGAATATCTGTAAATAAAATCTTTCTTTACACTGTGCCCCAAAATATTTTCTTAGCAACAAATCGGTAGAAATATATGTTATCACCTGAAGTTACAAGGTGTATATGATAATCTCTCTCTCTCCTTAAACTGATGAAATGTATAATATGTATATTATATGTATTATTATATGTATAATATGTATATTATATGAATAATATACATATGTATAATAATACACTCATCTCAAACTGCATTGGATATGTGGAGTTCTAGGTGCCTGCCCAAATTCTCTCTGCCTTCATGCAGCTTCTTAGAATTTTAGGTCATGGATATTCAGAAAATTAGCAAGAAGATGTCTGCAAAATTTGCCTGACTTTTTAAAAACTCAAAGCAAAATAACTGAGTACTAGGACAATGCAAGAATTTCAGATTTTTTATAAACATCACTATCAATATACAAATACATAGCTAGTTACAGTACCTTCCGTTTTTGGAGTGGTGATAATTTTAAGGACCAGTCACCAGGATTCAACTTCATTGCATGTGTCTGCAAAAAATAAGATCTCTATTAAAAAAATAAATAGATTTAATACAGAAAGTAGCAGCAAAGCCCAATTCTACTAAACAAAGCTGTTTTATGAACATTTTAATATTTTTGCACAGTCAGGGTGAGACAAACTTGTGTGATCATTCAGCTCATCTATTTCACTTCCACTCCATCATTTACTGCTCATACAGAGAGTGGTGAATAAATGTCAACACCTAAACTGTCTGTAGAGACAGAACACTACCCTGACCTTTCTTAGAGCCCACAGGCATGTTTGAGATCCACCTTCCACTCATTGTGAGCTTACAAATACAACCTTACACCTTTCTCATCACAACCTTCAACTCAATGTCCAGTTTGGTACCACGGCCTTGAAAGAACATCTTCAAAGAAACACTACACAGCAGAGTTTTTCCTTGGAATCTAATGCCTTTATCTCATCCACATAAAGCAAGAAACCAAAAGGCAACATAGAATATTACTAGGTGGGAATATATAATGAAATTTTGCTCATCCTTTGCCCTATATTCTAAATGTCAATATAATAATATTGTCTGCTGCTGATTGTTAACTACTCATCGTTTAACCACTATATTCTTTTTTAATACAGAGAGCATGAACAGTTCTGGTTTCAGACTCCCAATAATTTGTATCATCAATATGACACAAAAAGTTTTTTCCTCCTCTTATCACATGTGTCAATAAGATGTATGTTGCCACAGTCTAGAAAAATTGAAAAAAAAACCTGTGTTGTAACAGTGTTCATTCAGATCCAAGAAGAGTAACCATTTGTTTTGTACTTTGACAAGTTTGCTTGATGGGCTTTTTTTCAAATTTATGCTTAGAATTTTTTTAAATGTTTTAAAATTGATTCACGATAGGTATAAAACTGAAAAGGAGAAGGAAGTCTAGCACATAAAGTGTGCAACACTCAAATAATGCTTCAGTAAATTAATGAAGGCTATGCTGTGCATTAGATCTGATCTCACTTTTTTCTTGTAAATCAAAAGAAAGTCTTATAATGTTAAATAAATGGCATGCATAAACAGACTGTTAAATTACTAAGTACTTTTAAATGCAAACAAATAATCCCTGTAAGATGTTCAATCCCTCTAGCATAACTGTGGCTGTGTTAAGGCCAGGACATGCTCCTCTCTGCTGGGAGAACAAAATGTTTTGGAAAGTTGTACAAGTGATAAGGTGAACATATTTTTTAAATAAAAGAAATATGTAGGAACAAGATGGGGGATCACCAAATAATCAGAATGTCTGGATTTTGGCCTTCCCTTTAATATGATCCACCTGTATTAAAAAACCTCTTCTCAAAACAGGAAAAGATGCTCTTCTGCTTTATTTCCTGCAATTCTCTGTTGGAAGTCATCAAGAAAAGCAAGGTCAGAGATGGAGATCACCATGTGGCCTCCAGCATCTTTTACCTTTTCTTTCTGCTTTCCAGAGCTAAAGCCTGTGGAGGCACTGCACTACTTGGACTTCTTCAATCTGATATCACAATATTACTTGGAAAATTAAAACATATTTTAGCATTGGGTAATGATGATATAAAATGCATGTTCATTTAACAGTGTGTCAGTACCTCTCAGTCACATATGGTGTTCTGGGCTAGTCAGGAATTCTGTATTAGAACCTGAAACACAATTTAGCTTCTTTGTCTCCCCCTGCACAAAAATTACTGAATTACAGATCCATTACTGGAATATATTACCATATTTAGGATGTCACTTGTATCCCCAAGGTTTCTGTCAATATTTTCATCATCTGAATCTTGATCTGAAGAGACTTCACCAGGTTTATCTTTTTGATGGTTATTTTCTACAAGGTAAAATAAGGGGAAATAAATAAATGTCATAGGAACAAGCACTGTATAGCAAACAGAACACCCCACTTGTATAAAACAGACATTATTCCTGTTTTACTAACATAGAACTGAAATCCACAGATTCTTCATTTCCCCAGCCCAAGACACAGCAAAACCACTTCCATCTCCTTTCATCAGTATCAACAACAGAGGTAGCTCAGCAATCTGATCTCAGTGTACCATAGATCTCTGACCATTTCTGCAGGCTTTCAAGTCTAAATATTACATGAAACAAAGATTCTTCTGGATTATCTCTTTAATAGTAGGGTAACCATTAGACCAAATTAGCTGCAGTCATGTTATCTCCATTGCACATCACCTATATCATGGATGGAGAGACAGGGAGTTTAAGGCAGCATCATAACATCATTGAGCTCATCAGGTCCATGACCACTTTGTACAGCACAAAAACACAAGGTTTTAGGCCTAAGAAGACTCTAAAGGAAATTCAGATTTCACTGCATTGCTTTCCTGGAACTAGAAATTATAATGGACATGCTGGCAGATTTAAAAACAATCATCTTCATTCTATGAATTGATTATTTTCAAATTAGATTTGTCTGTCCAGTAAATCTGAGCTATTATATTCGACACTTCCAGCATTGTTCTCCCCAGGAAATTACACATGTCCACAAACCCAGATAAGTCTAGAACTGCTCTAGAGAATCTGTGCCAAAGTCCAGTGCTGTATTATGGTTATCCAGACTTTTCCATTAGCTAGAATAATATAAATTCTTATCAACTTAGATAACAAAGAGTGAAGAGTACTTTTGCACTTCCAAGTGAAGAAGAAAGTTCCTGCAAGAATGAGTGGACCTCTTTTCTTATCTTTCCTTATCCAAATTCCTTGTGGGCTTACCCATGTCTTTAAGACTTTTCCTAACTTTTTTGTCTATAATTCCTTCTTTCTTTTTTGTGAAAAGTAAGCAGTTAATTTTCTTACAGTATTTTCATGAATACTTATTTCTAAAGGTTTAAGGAACCACAGGTATAATTTATAAGTTGTTTTTCTTTCACTCAAGCCCCTCTATATCTTTAAACTTGCTTTGCAAACAAGAACAGTGTGAGGCAATTTTTGTCTGCCTTTCTCAGCTTTCACGTCTCTATGCTGCAAGACTCTCCTGATGTCTGAGACTGAACCAGAACCTTCTTTCAGGTTCAAACAGAACATTTGTTTATGAATGATGAGAGTTAAACCATTCTTATCAGCAAACAGCAGTAAGATGTGGGGACACTTCACCTTTTTCATGGTCTCCATCCCTTACAGATTCAGCTTTAGGATGACTTTTTGCAGAAAACCAGAATGGGCTGGTGTTGCTTGTCACAGGCAACGAGGATTTTAAGGAGCTTTCCCCCATTGGAGGCAGAGTTTGTGCCATTCGAACAAACTGTTCTGGTGACCTTTCCTTTAGAAGAGTGAAAAACAAGAGATTGAGGAGAAGGGTAGAAGAACAAAATGTAAGCAATCTCTCCTGCTAATCAGTGGTATTTGCTTTTAGCTGGGGATACTGTGTTGCAACTTAATAAGCAGAAACAAATATCATTACAATTTTAATTATTTGTAGGACTATAAAGTGGGCAGGTGCACAGTGGGATTTTTAAGATCACCTCTATGCAATGATTCCTAGCAATCCTAAAATACAAAGGAGAAAAATAACTTTCTTGTTTTTTTTCAATTTAAAATAAAAAACTAATCTCTCAAATAACATCAAGGTATTTAATCCACAACATCAATACATTTTTACAGAATAAACTCAGGTTTTGGTAGAGTTAGTTCTCAGACATGTAAGTGAAATGATCCAATTCATTGTGCTTTTTAAGGAAACCACATGGAATGTGTAATGGAGATAAAAGAGCAGAAAATAATATTTTAAGTAGCTACATCTAATATTCTCCTTTTGTATTTTATAAATTATGAAATTATTTAATAAATTCAAGAACATAAAAGGGAACAGCAAAAGAGCCATATGCTTACTGTATTTTAGAAAAATATTTCTAAGACAGTTTAAAAAATGCAAAGGAACTGCATTTTAGTTTTAGTTTAGTAAAATGCTCTACATTTTAGAACAAAAAAAATTACAAACTCAATTTGAATCTATTTCACAGAAACAAATGAGCAAAATCTGATCAATTCCTATTTTTTTTGTCCTGCACCAATTTTTGGGACCAGAGTAAATATATATTTTTTCATATTATACCTTAAAATTAAACACTTAATTTAGGAAGATATATTTAACTGCTTGGTATATGCTGTGACTTCTGCTTTAAAAGTGATTTTGTTCCCTGAAAGAAGTGTGCCAGCTCTAAATCTTACCCTCTCTCGACGCCGTATCCGTGCTGCTGATAATTGCAAAGTGTTTGCTAGTACAAAGTCCCCACTCATTTTAGGGAGAGTAGCAGTCAAACGAGGCTCACATAAATCTTCCAAGATTACCTCAGATCCTTTAGGTCTTGGAGCAGCAAAAACCAGCATGTGACAACCCCCACAAGCAACCTACAGCTCAAAAAAGGTCTGATTACTTCATTTGCAAGCATCAAGGATGCACTGTTGTTACAATTATCTCTAGGGGCTTAGATTATAAGAAAAAAATGTAATAAAAGTAAGACATCCCAAATGGCTTCAAATTTAGTTCTTAATTACCAGCAAGATAAAAGTATTTAATTATGTTTATTAATGACTAGTTATCTTCTTAATTTAATACAATGCATTTGTATTGAACAGAACAAAAGATAGGTCTATCAAATTTTTGATACAAAAGATAGCAAAGATATTTCCACTGATTTTCAGGAGATTTTAGCTAATGATTTTGATACATGTCAAATGAGAACAATACTGATAGTTTCAGTGACTCAAACCTAAATGTTTTATCACAAAACCAGCAAAATGCAAAACAAATTTGATACCCTCCAGTAGACAAAATATTATTACATAAAGATTGGAGGCTTCACTTTTTAGAAGGTTTAAAAAAATCACTGCTTCCAGTAAAACTTCCTTCACCTGTAATTCCAGTATACAGGAATGAAAATAGACTTTTGTCTCAAATTTTGTTCAATCCTGAGTCATGTGAGCAATTTTGATGCTGACAATTCTGTGACATTTGTTTCTTCCACAGCTCAGGAAGCAGATGAAAAAACTTCCCTTCCACAATTCTCAAAAGAAAAGACTGTTCCTGGTTTCTTATCAGATTTGGATTTAAAAAAACTAACACCTCAATTTTTCTTAAGAATTAAAGATATCCTACTGCACAAAAAATTGCCAAAATTGAAAAGATGGCTTTCTAGTATTCACAGAAAATATATAAATTTCCCAATACTTCCAACCATCCAAGAGCAATAAATAATTCAGTCTATAAGCTCTAAAGACCAAAACAATGTGGCACAAGAGTACTGAATAAAACCCTAGAGAGCAATCTCTATGTGTAGCCCAAGTCAAAGACATTCTAAACTAAATAAACACTGTGCTAAAGTATATAATTTCCTCTTTCCTTCAGTTTGTGTTGCCCACTATTTAAATGTTATAGAAAGAAATAATTTCAGCTTTCTTTATTAATGTGTTTCATAAAAAAGATAAATATCTTGGTGTCTGAAAAGAGTAAAGTTTTACCATAAGGACTGTGAACTTCAAGAAATTGTAACACAGAGTGGGATCAAACAGATTTGTAAAACTCTCTTCTCCAAATCCTAACTTGCCATGTCGTCCATCTCCAAAAGTAAACATGAGGCCATTCTCTGCATGTGGGAATAAAAAGAATGTTAAAGCAAAGATTCAATACAAAACCAGGACAGAACCATTACAAACATAGTAACAGGCCATGAAAGTAAGGAATATTTCCCTTCCAAAAGCAAAACCTGAACAATTATTTTTAGATCTTCAAAGATGAATGTTATTAAAAAAATGCATTTTTTCATATTCTTATTCATATTCATATTTTCATTATTTCATTTGTCTGAGATGTTGGTCTAGATAAGTTATAAAAAAAACACCCCAACAAAATAAAAAGATTTAAATTGTACAGAAAAACAAAGGCTTCTAAACAAGAATACTTGTTAGCAAGGCATAATTAAGAGGTTCCCCAGAATATACAGAGTTATGCATGGCATGGCTGTGAGTCAGAAATTCCTGTCCACCTTTCTCACTGGCTCATTTCACCCTTAGAACCAGTAATGGATATGTCTCCTACTGCTCATTGTACAGGGAAAGATTTTACAGTAGAGCAGAGAGCTGCTAGAAGTGGTTCCAGGATTTTGCACTCCCATACCTGCTATCACAGCCGTGTGATTTTCCCCACATGCAATGTTACATATTTTATGCCTCCTCAAGTGTTTCACAGGCTTCGGTACTGAACTTTCAAACACAAAAGTTCCGTGTCCCAGCTGCCCATATTGTCCAAGTCCAAAAGTATAAACATCTGTCTCTGAAATTATACAGGCAAAGTTAACAACAAATATGCTGATAAGTGTATTTATTTCTTTCTTTATTTATATAATAACCTACGTTCCATTTGCCAAATGGAAGGCCACTGACATAAACATCATAAAAATAGTTTAATCAATTAAAAAATGTGCCAATTAATCCATTACATTTACCAATTAATGTACAACAAAATAAAAAACAAAACAGGAATCGAAGCACTAAAGTATACACAGAAAAGAATTTTAAATGGTTCAATGTGTGATATATCTTCTAGCATAAATGTAAAATAATCCACTGATCATATGTACAGAAAGCAAGGTTAAAAGAAATGAATGGGAATTTACATACTGTATTCAATTCCAGACCACAATATTTATACATATATATGCATTTTCACAATAGCCTCATCCTAATTTCTCATTAGCTCCATGAACATTATATGACCCTAAATTTAATAGACAAGACCTCATAATTTATATGTATGAAGAGACTGGAACAGTAACAGAATATATTTCAGTATTCTGTTCAGCTACCAAATCAGTCCTGCAATAAATACAGAGAATACTATAATTGTGTTATCTTGTGACAGAATAATCATCTTTCCACATTTATATTTTGTATGTTTAATGGACTCTCTGTGCCAGGAGAAAGAATAAGAGCTTCTCCAAAGCTATAAAGATTCTTGTTGTGTCCATCCCTGGCACTCCATCACAGCAGGGGAAGATTGTGAAGCCTGGAAATCTTGATGAGATCATGGTTGAAAATAGAAGATTTTTGGGAAAAAAAAGAAGGTTTCCTAGAATTTAATTTCCTGCCCCTTTTTTTTTGCATGTTGGCAAGAAAGGAAAAGGGAGAGAAATTCTACATAAAGCACTTGAAAAATTATTATGCAAAAACGGGAAAGATTATGAATTAACAAAACATATTCCATGTTGAGTTAAAAGAAGAACTTTCCAATTTTAAAGGAACTGTAATGAAATAGTAACATTACATATGGAAATGTTCTTTCTAGTCAAGTCTTTAATCATTTCTTATAAATTTCTTATAAATTGTTCCATACTAAGATGTCATGAATTCATACTATAAAAAAAAAGCCCAGTGGTCTCACACTTTTTTAAAATTGTAGATGAAAAATACTGAGTAAATCTGTATTTTTACTAAATGTAATAGTAAAGCTCCCTCTGCTGGAAATTTTAGTGCAAGAAAGTAAAACCTTCTCAAGAGCTTTATAAAGTAAAAGCAGTAGTAAGAATTTTCCTGTAATATTTAGACTTCCCACATAACAATCTAGAAACTACACCTGAAAGACAGGAGCTTTCTCTAAGCAAAAAAAAAGTCTCATCTTTATTTTAGTAAAGTGCTTTCTCATTATGGCTGATTCCAAAAATTCTGTTTAGAAGTACTACATTTGTCTTTAACAATTCTTTGGAAACTGGCAGAAATTTTAACAACATGGTTTCATCTGATTAACATAATTACTTTGAGTGAACTATGAGGTTTTTTCCTTTAATCCTAGCATGAAATATGCTACGTCTTCTGCATTTGTGTTGAGAGGGAGATGTTCTCAAATGTTAACTTTAAAAGTGCACAGAATTTTTTCTTCCCTGTGTTTCTACTGAAAACGAGGAAAAAGACCAATCCCAAATCAGGTTAGAGTGCCTTTATATGATTAATAATTTCTTCTTCTGCCTTTATAGACCAGGAACATCTAAATGTTGCTCCTCCTAAATTTGCTTTCTTATTGAACTATCAGGGTAGAGGAAGTAAAAAAACCTTACACCTTTCTTAAATGATTCATCACTCTGGTGCAGAAGTGAGGTTAAACCTCACTAATAACTCCCTTTAGTAGAAATGAGGTATTTCCCCCGATCTGTCTTTATAAATGCCTGAAAAGAGAAGTGTAAGGAAAAGTAACTTCACACCCTTATTGATAAAATGACAGGGGGGAATTTCATCATTCTGAACACAGCAGCAGCCCATGAGAGGGCCCTTGAAGGATGAAGAGAAATGGTTTCAGAGCTTGCACAGAAGACAATGGTTTTACTCTTCCAGGTGACCTCCAGCACTCGAGCACTGGAAGAGCTGCCTCTTTACTTCCTATTTCCCTTTCTGGAAGAACAGGAATATTTCCCTGTAACTGTGTTATCTTCCATCTTTGCAGGCATCTTTTGTAATCTCCGTGACCATTTGCACTCTCAATAAAACAGTTCTAGGCAAAAAGCTATATAGCTTTTGTATTATTTTTTAAAACATGTCATTGCTGACAGAACTGTGCGAGCTCAAAGAATGTTTTTCAGAATCATGTATTCCCTGCTATGTATCTAAGGCTACAGATGAAGTTAAAAAGTCCACAGAACTAAAAAGGAAGCAGAGAGGTAAGCTTATACCAAAGGAACATAGAATGGTTTGGGTTGGAAGAGACCTTAAAGATCATCTGGTTCTGACTTCTTGCCATGGGCAACATGGATACTTTTCACTATCCCAGGCTGCTCAGAGTCCCATCCAGCCTGGCCTTGAACACTGCCAGGATGGGGCATCCACAGCTTCTCTGGGCAACCTGTGCCAGGGCCTCACCACCCTCACAGCAAAGAATTTCCTCCTAATATCCAGTCTAAACCTACTCTCTGTCAGTTTGAAGCCATTCCCCCTTGTCCTGTCATTCCAGGCTCTTAATTTCCCTTGAACATTATTATTATTATTAATAATATTATTGTTATTATTATTATTATTATTGTTGTTGTTATTGTTATTGTTGTTGTTATTATTATTATTATTATTATTTCTACTCTAACTATTATGCCAATGAACTATTCACTCTCATAATAGCTTTATTTTTAAACAGCTTATGCTGAAAAATTTTACTGTAAAAAATCAACTGTCAACACAATGTTCAGTATTACCAGAGTTAGTAACTGGATTTGGGGATTTCTGTATAAATAGTATACAGACTTAAGAATAGTTTGAAAAATCTAATAATCCTATATGGTCTGAATCGTGAGTTCTGCCAGAAAAAGGTAGAGGTTTTACATCCCTTTTGTCCTCTTTCAAAAGGGTGCCTTGATTTTCTTTTCTTTTTAAAAGACCTTGAGACAGAAGATGAAAAATCCAACATTTTACATACTAATGCACTAATGTTCTTATGTCAAATGTTCTATTCCCAAAGACCCGCTTCACTTTTTCCTTTGAAGAGTTATCTTTGCTTTCCTTCCTTTCAGAGAATGAAAGGAAGTAATATATCCTTCTACAGAAAAAATTATTCCCAGAGGATCTGTCGTCATCTGAAGAAAACCTGCAAGATATTAAGGCCACTCCAAATCATCTGTTTCTTCTTCTTCAATTTCTAGATCCACATTTATTATTTTTCTACCTTTTAAAACACCTTATTGAAAAAAGCACGCAAATTGAGAATTCTGCTGTCCCATATTTCACTTGAAAGTGATGACACCAACAGCTTTCACTTGCAGCAGAAAGAACTTGCAAGCATTGGGGGAAGTCAGTGCATTTCTTTCAGTCTCTGAGAGAACTTGTCTGGGATGAGGACAGGATCTTCTTGGACTGGCTGACTGATTGCCATGGAATGAATAGCTTTGTGCTATCAAGATTATACATGATAGAATTTTTAAATGTAATTCTGTTTATTGTCTAGAACAATTGCAAATATTAAAGGAAGAGGTAACAATAAGAAGATTGTAAAGAAGATTGTTTCCAATACCACATTCAACATTTCTAAAACCAATCTTTTAAAAATTGTGCTTTTCCCTAAATTATTGCTCTCAACAATTTAATTCTTGTTCTCTGGAAAAAAATACTTGAGTTTATCATTCTGAAATTTCAGAGAAAAAAAACTTGAAGAATTATTTTAATACACACTTTCTACCTTTTACTCTGATACTTGTACAGATTCCAAAAACAGTACCTTGATAAATTAACCCAGATAACAGCGGTTCTCACCATACAAAATTACCACTAGAATAGATAACTGTCATAAAAAAGAAATCAAATTAAGTGCTTTGGAATATACTAATCACACATGAGAGTCAGGAAGAAACTGGCCTTGTACTGTGTAAGATAACTGAATTATGTTTTCTTCTAATTTGATAAACTCTAAGTAGAAATGATGTCGAGAAATGAGCCAAGATGTGCAACAGTTTTTTTTCCGTATGACATTTTCTCTTGTGTTTTCATGATGTTAAATGAGATAGATGAAGCAGAGGAATATTCAATAGGCACACACTCAGTTCTCATTTCCTGAGACTGAAATGTCATGTCCTTAAAAATTGGAAAGACCCTGAAAGGATGTAAACCACATCAGTATATATTGTGTTACTAAATGCAAGCAGCACCCATTTTCATGGAGGATGACACTTGAAATTCAGAGTTTCTTCAAAATTGTATTACTTTCTTAATTTATAAAAATGAGCTTAAAAGCTCATTTTCATGTAAATTAAATGTAAATGTCTCTTCTCCTCTTTAAAGATATAATATCAGAATTCTCAGTTTCTGGTCACACCACTTCACCTCAAGATGCAATTCAGGACTCATTTCAAGTGAAGTTTCTGATGCAAAACCATTAATATATGTATGTCACACTCGCTTCAAATTTTTAGTATACATATCTACCTTTTTCCACAACTTTTTCCTCAAATTTTCCTTGGAGTCAGAAAATCTTCTCTATGAAAACACTTCTGACTACTGAAAGTATCTGTAATTTGAGACAGTATTTCTACTGTCCTCTACTCTTTCACTCCAATGGTCTTAGTCAGAAGTTCACATCTGTCACCTATTTAATAACAGCTGAATTACATTTACAAAAATCTGACTTTTCACTCTTATCACAGTTATTAATCTTTAGGAAATGTATTTTTTGTGGGGGGATATAGTGTTCCTCTTTTTGTGACTCAACTAGATCATCTGGCACTCAACACTTTGATCATCAGCTGCCAGCTCAGCCAGTACTAAATTTCTTATTTATCTTTGACTAAAGAATTTATTTCCATTAGCAAGTAAATATTACATACATACATACTTATTACAGTATTTTCTTCATTGCATTTTTTCTATGGCATTTATATTCCTCTTTTTGTTCTAGTTCTTGTACAGATTTCACTATAATGATGATGGCATCCAGGTCTGTATCTTTCTTCTAAATCTCTCTAACAGCATTTAGTTATAATGATTTTTTATCACATGAAATGCCATTAAGTTAAAATATCTATTGTTTGAACACAGATTTATGGTTAAAAAATAATCAGTAATGATAATAAAATTCTTTCTACAAAACTTCATGTTATAAATAATAAAATAATGCTGTGATTTATATGTTTGTTGGTCCCAAATTTATGGCAGTTTTTTCACGAATAATGATTACCTGATTTCACCTAAAGAAATTTATTTTGGGACATAGAATACTGCCAGAGTAAGACTGTATGTTGGTGGAAGAAGGGAGACAAAGGCATTGAAATGTAGACAAATGTTTACATTATTTCCTGAATTGGCTAATGCTATTTCCTCCTCACAGTTTTCCCAAAGGAGTTTTAACCAACCCAGAATCTTGCAGCTTGACTCACTACACATAATCCTTCCCAGCCTTCCAATGGCTTGCAGTACAACACCAAATCATTTTACTCACAATCTCCCTCAGCTGGATTTTCAATTCATATTTTAGAAAGTTTGGCTGCATAACCTTGAAGGCACATCACAAGACTGTCAAGAGAAATATATATGACAACTAATAGAGAACCTTCAGAATACAGATTTAAGGACTGATACCTATACATGCAACTTGGCTTTACAGCTTTTGCATTTTGGCAGGAAAAAAAATTACAGGCCATACAGTTTTGCACATACTATATTCATTACAAGCTGAAGCTGATATTTTTGGAACTATCTTCAGCAAAGCTGAACTTACCTTTCCTGATTCTACATCACTCTAGGTCAGGATAGAATTTGTGGAAAGAAATGGCTGGCACTGCTTTGCACATATACCTTGGAAAAGCTAAGTCACCACTGGCAGACAACTATTTTACAGTTCAGCAACACAGCATTTTCCAAGTACTACATATAATATATATATATATATATATATACCCTGTAAACTAATATGTAACAGTTGTAGTTGCTGATTTTCATAACCTGTACAATATGTCAAATGTACTAGTTTCATAGTTATGCTAAAAATTCTGTTCAAAGGCACAAGCAAAATCTGTATCACAATAAGAAATATTTAATTCATTCAGGCATGCAGTAGATAGTGAAGCTACTTGAAAAGTGACTTCCTACATACCTTCCTAAATATTCAAGAGCATTTAAATTTACTATAGAATGGAAGCTTTCCTCTAGAATTTCCCTCTCACTGCAATAACAATTTCAAGCTCCTTAGAGGAAAGAAACATCAATCATCTGTGTTGTACCAGGTGGTGCTGGTTTATTACAATTCCAGTAAGAAATGCACTCAGCTTATGTAAAGTTCTCTTAAAATGCTATTTATTTGAGCTAAGACCATAAAGAAAAAGAACACAGGATCAATAACCTTCTCTGCCATTAGAGGCTGGGAATCCTGAGCTATGTGGAATTGAAAAGGACCCCAGGATGCTGTGCAGATCCTATCCATGGAAGGTTACCTCAGTTTGAGATCTTACAGGATTCTCTTACATCCAAAAACACTTTGTACATCATTTATACTGAAAAATTCCGCATTTTATACTGAAAAAAAAATCCACATGGGAACTTCCTGCCAAATTTTCAAATAAAAGCAAGGACAGCCAAGTGGTGTCAACCAGGAGCTGCCTGGGAGCCCCTCTGTTAAAATCACCTGGCCAAGTTCATCCTGTGGCCAAGGGACATGGGCAGTGCAGCACAGGCCTGCCCTGGCTGGCTGGCACATGGATTTCTACCTCCTTGGTATACAATGCTCTTCCAGTTAGGATCAGCATCCAGTATTTCAGTGAGATGTAAATTCTTTAGTTAATGGAGTTTAAATTACATTTTAAGAAAAGCCAGTTAAATTGCATACCTGTCAGCACCACAGTGTGTTCTCCACCACAAGCAACCTTATCAACCTTTTCCATAATTCCCAGTACAGGCTGTGGGACTCTATTGTTCTTCAGCTGTTCAGGGAATAATCCCAGTTTTCCATTCACAGGTTCTCCAAAAGTATAGAGCTCACCATCTCCTGTGAAAATACAGAGCACAGAATTGTTTCCTTCACACACTCTGGAGAAAGGATGGGCTGTCAAGGCTCCTGCAGACACAAATTATAAAGACAGAAAAGTGTATGAACATTACAGGAGAGCTGAACATGTTTGCATAATGCCCAAACAACTGTGAAAAGCACTCTGATGGGACACACAGCTGCTAGATTTTAGTCCCCTCCAAATTCAGATATTTATCACAATATTTAGCCTGCAAGGAATGTAGCCACGGGAAAAACAAAATCATATACATCCTGTGAGGTGGCAATTTCCTCTGTAATCAGTATTTAAATCAGATGAAGTTGCTTGTAAGAATTTCAACTGAAACAGAAAATAATTTTGCATGGAATTTTGATGGAAAATCAACCTGCTCAAGCAGGGTCATCCCTGAACATGTCACAGAATTGTGTCCAGTGATTTCTAGAATACCTCCAGTGGAACATGTCACAGAATTGTGTCCAGTGATTTCTAGAATACCTCCAGTGAGGGAGGCTCCACACCCTCTCTGGGTAATCAGTTCCAGTTCTCAATCTCTGCACAGTGAAGAATTTCTTCCTCATGTTCAGGTGGAACTTCCTGGCCATCAAGTCATGCCTGTTCCTCTTGTCCCATTGCTGGGAGCAGGGAGCAGAGCCTGGTCCATCCCCTGTCCCCTCCCTGCAGACACTGACACACAGAAATGAGATCCCCCCTTATCCTCATCTTCTCAAGGCTTTCTTACATTCTTCTATACCTCTTTTCTAAGAGTTTTTTTTCAGTCATTTCAATCTGTGTGTGCTTCTTAAGAACAAGCAAATTACATCAGCTGCAAAAAAGTGTATTTAATTTAATTTCAAACCTATGGACCATGTTTAGGCTTCTCTGTTCAGTTTGATTTCCTGTTTTAATTCAGATTTTGTTTTTACATCTATGTGCAGAAATAGATGAAACTATGAACAGGCTGATGCTTTGCTGGTATTTGCATCAGAATCAATTTTCTGTTTGAAAACAGTAGCCCAATTAAAAAGATAAAAATCAACTGCAATGTGAGGTTTTCTGTAACCAAAACATTCTGCTGACAAAAAGAGATTTTATTAAGCATTCTAAGTGGAAAGAAAGAAAAAACAAACAAACAAGTAAAAACAACAAAAAGAATCCCTTATTTTTCGGAAGGTAAGTATTTTTTCAATACTCTTAGATCAGCCATATATTTCAAAAAAACAAATTTTAAAAACCCCAAAAGCACTTGGGAGATAACTACTTATGCAGCTCTCTTTGAAGAGACCAGCAGTTCTTTTTAAACACTATTGCACTGAAAAAATTAATCCAATCTATCTAATTAAGAGGATTAGAGATTCAAATGGCCAAGCCTCCCAAACTAATCAAGTTCATTACATTTTTTCCACTTAATAATCCAGCTAACAAAGATAAAACCATTTACCAATGCAATTTTTGAATACATTACACATCCCTTTTAGGCAAATAGTGGTCTAAAGACTATGAAAAATAGCAATCAAGCATAAACAGAACCCAGTCAAACCCAGATAAATTTTGAGTGCAGTATGTGTGCAGTACATCTGCATGCTGAGGACATGATGTACTGTGTACAGTACACCTGAATTTTAAGGACACTCTGTTCACAACAAAACCTGGTTATTTAATTTTCTCCTCTCATATGAGTCACATTCTCACATGTTGAATTTTCCCTAATGTGGCACATTTTCTGTATCACAAAACTTCAAATCACAGGAGCATTTCAAGGAAATGGACAAGTGAATGGAAAATGTCCCTCAAAGGCAAATGTGCATTTGAGAGTAGATAAGAGACCTGGCTGGTGGTAAATGTGAGACAAAAATGAGTGGACAGAAGAATTGGGTAACACTAGAATTTCTTGAATAAATGAAGAAGAAAAATATAAATATTTATTAAGACAAAATTGTTTGAAACTCTCAAACAGTGAAATTCAGAGCATGGAAGTGTTTGTGGGATGAATGATTCTTAAACCAGTCCTTAAAAATAATGACAAAATACATTAAAAAAAAAGAATTCAAAGAACCTGAAAAACTATGAAAAGACATCATCTCAATAAGGATCTATCTTGATGTTGATTACAGTTGTAATTCAGGCAGGGGAAACACTAGAAGGGGTCTAATATATTCAATTCCTTTCTGTCTCCAAAAATCTAATTCTGCTGTAGAACCCAGGGCAGTGGTGAGATACATCAGCTTTCCCTGCTCTCCATCTCCTGCAGTGAACAAATGAGCTGTACATGCCTGCAAGCTTAATGCTTCCTGAAAAATTCTCCCCTCCTGAGTGTGTAGTCAAATGAAAGTCAAGTGAAGATCTGTGTAAGTGCTCAAAATTGTTGCTACACTCTCCCAGCAGTTTATTTCTCTGTTGATTTGCTTGAGACATAGCCCTAATAGTGGCACGCAATGTCCAAAGCCTGCAAAAAGGAAGGAAAACACACTATGAAAAAATCCTAAAGAGCTGGAAGCTACAGACTAAGAACTTCTTTTTAGTGGAACTTTTTGGTGAATGAAAGGAGAGGGAAAGGGAGCAAACAATCATCTTTCAAATATGAACTGAGTAATCAGTCTAGTTCCTAATTTGCATATGGAATTGAATTAGCCATTGCCTGTGCATGTACCTAGTCTAAATTTCATAAGTGTTTTTTTTATTATTTAAAATATTCAGTATTTATTCTGTTCTTCTATTCCACAACCACTTTGGCATTAGTGGATTCCATGTGTACATGGCAGAATACAGGTGACACATATTCAGCAGTTAAATTATTGTCTGCAAAGAAGGCCTCCTAGAAAGCAGAAGGAAGAGTGACATCATCATACTTTTGGAACTGTCAGAGGCATTGCTCTTGGCTTTATAGCAGTTAAACACCTTAAAGATAAAAGTCTACTAAAAAATCTTCGAAAACCCAACAATGTCAAAGAAATAAAAACTTCAGAAGAAGAAAAAAATAACCTGGAATCCATACTTCACCACTTTTTTATTCAATACTCTCTTATTAATGAACATCCTGCCCTGGAGAGGGCACTCTGTGTCCACACTATGTTTTCTATGTCCTCATGAGCCACCTTTTAGTTTTCAGTTTTAGTTAGATATGCCTGTATTCTCAACAGGTTTTTCAGCCAGTGCACACCTTATGTCAGACATAAACATATTAAGAAAGGGAGCCATATGGTGCTGTGCTCATCAGTTCAGTCTGACAGCATTTATCAAGTCTTAAATCCTGCAAGTATGTAACACTGTTAAAGACAGTGTATTATTAGATGTCTAAAAATCAAAATGTGGTAATTCTATAGTATTCTAATAACTGGTAAGTAACACATCCTGTGACTATGGTATATTCAGAATAAATGTATAAAGTTAATTTTTAAACACTGTGTGGATACACACTGATGGTAGTGCAACAAAAAATCAATTCTACAAAAGTACTTGGATGTCCAATACTAAATTTTTACAGTATCTGAAGTATCAAAGAAAACTGTTGGAAAGGGGCCAAAGGAAAGTAATAAAAAAATGTATGCCTTCACACAAAGTAGCTCACGTGTGTTAGTAGCTTCAGTGACAGACTGAACCCAATTCATGTAGGACTTGCAGATATTAAGTCTGAAAATTAAGATTTTCCATCTCAGGCCTGTTTAAGTAGTAGCAGGTTCAGCAACTCATTGTCATAGGTGATAATCAGTTCATTCTTCCTATTAATATTTAAAGAAGCTCCATTTTTCTTAACCAGGAACAAGCCTAAGTCTTTTTTTCTTATCCCCTTCCATTAAAAGTTTCCACTTCCTTAGGGGACTTGGCACACACTGTTCTCTCTTTACTCTTAGATGTTCATCCTCAACCCTTCTACTGAGAACTTTTGTGATATCCTGCTACACTCCTGGACCTTCAGCTTTTGGCTTGAAGGCAGAGATACACACATTGCTACAACATCTTTTTTCCCTCTCATTTTTTTTGAGTCCAGGAAGCTGTATTTTTCCTAACAGGTGCTGAGGTCCTGATCAGTCCCAGACACTGAATTCATTTACTATAATAAAGCATCTGTAATAAAAGTTGCACATTACTAGCATAACACCTAATTAATATTTGTCAACTGTAGCAAGCTCTCATTCTGTTAATAGCATGTTCTCAGAGAGCAATACAGGTACTGTATGTGGAAAAGTAACATTTATCAAGTAATCTGGGAAAGGTATCTGATGGAATAGCTCCTGGGTACCCACTAAAAGCTTTACAATCAAAACTATCGATCCTTTGAAATCTTTAATTACTCTAAGGGGACCAAACAGTAAAGTTTAATAATGTAAATCTATATGGCTGAGAGGAATTCATAGCTGCTCATACATAATGCCATCAATTCTGGCTGATAATTCATCCATACTGGCATTATTAAAAGATGAGTGGAATCTTCACTTTGGAAACCAATAGAGAGTTGGGAAGAAAGAGGTGGAAAGCAATAGGGAGGTGGTTTGGTTTGGAGCTCAGGCAACAGCTCACTGTAGTATAGCAGCTCCTCATATCATGTACTGTCAGTTTAACTGACTTCAAAACATAAATTTTAGGACCAAACAACAAACTTGGACAACAATCTTTTACTTTGAACAAGATTAAATTTTTCTCATAACATAGCAACTCAGTTCAATATTGATATTTCCAGAGAAGATGAAGTTTATTATTTGATCATAAAAACAAATAACCTCAAAAAAAGTTGGTGTTTTGAAACCATACTTTTAATCCACAGTACATGCAATAATCTCTATGAAAACAAACTGATATTTCATTCTTTCTAATATACTTTTGCACAACAATGCACAAATGCATAAAATTAAATGCAAGTTTTTTCTCTGTGATAGAAAACTACATAGGAGACTTTCAATCACATAGCAGTTTTTAACAACTATAGGGTATCAAGCTTCAAACAACTATTTCAAAACCACTGTTTTGTCTCCACTAACCTCTATTCCCATTCTCTTACCTGTAATCAAGGCAGAATGGTAATATCCACAGGATACAAAGGAAACAGGTTTTCCAATATCCACTTTACAGGGGACACTGACAGAGGCTTCACTGGCCAGGCCAATCTGACCTTCTGAATTATCACCCCACACAAAGAGCTTCCCATCCTCTAAAATGAAGATAGGGATAGTTAATAGATTTAAAACAAAAACTAATTAAAAATGAATCCATTTCTTGAAGAGTACTTCAGAAACTCTTTATATGATACCACTGAATGTCATGATCTCTCGGGTATAAAATGATAGCTTAGCACAATGCAAAAAAGGAATTGGAAATAAGAGGGTTTTCCTTAAGCTTTTCAGAAGTTGCCCAGAACATTTGCATGTCAACCAATGTTAGGGCATAAATACCAACAGAAAAAGTACTATGGAAAAAACATTCCTTCAGAAAGAGGAAGACTGAGTGAGACAATTCAGTTGCCTTAGGTCAGTATGAAAATATTGCAGTGAATTTAAGGCATCTTCTCATTTCTAGGTGCAAGTCACCCCTTTCTCATTCTTCCAAACTTATTCTCTGTTCTGACTTTGGTAGGCATCCCACTAATTCATGCCTTATCTTTCAGTTCTCCTCACAGGTGGTTGTATTGACCAGCTTCACTTTGCTTTCCTTAAACTACAACAGTAGAGGTTCCAGGTTTATTAAGACCAGCTTCTTTTGAAACAAAGACCAATGGCAACAGTAAAAACAACAACAACAAAAACACCAAAAAAGGTGGTGAACAACATGAAAAGTCTCTAGATTCTTCTAGAAGAGATAAGGTCTTTTCTATGCATATTTCTTATTGGTATGAAATAAGTTGTGAATAAAAATGTACCACCTACAGTTCTATTGAGGTGGTGTTAGGAGCTAAAGTAATTCAAAATTGTCCTAAAAATCTAAAAATTTCAGGAGAATGTCAGCAATTGGCATAAAAAAAAAAAACAAAAATCAAACAAGCAGACTAGCATCTCCCTCAAGTTCTGAAATTACAGCCTCAATAACTTACCCCAAACAGGTACAGAAAAAACTGCTTTACAGCAAGACTTGAAAAATTGCATTATAGGGTAATAAAGGACCATCCACCCAGTGACTGGAAGTATTGTAACTGTGTGGATTTCAGCATGTTGTGGCATATAATTGGTATAATTCTTCCACCTGAGAAATAGGTGGGAAGCCCAACCTCTCCCAGAATTTGTAAGGAATGACACAGCTGTGCAGCCTGTACCAGTGGGCAGCAACAGTTGCAGCAACAAGTGGAATTAGAGATGCTCAGTTTTCATAGGATTCATGTTTTGTAACTGCTTTCCCAGGAAATAAACTGAAGATGTTTTTTTTCCATTTTGAGGGTATTCATACTGTTCCTCCTCTGTAAGTATTTCTACTAAACTTTCACAAAAACTCTAAGTTAATGAGACACACAACCTTTACCAGACTGCTAAAATACACAATTGCCTGTCAAAAAATGACCGTGGCTAATAGTGAGGATAGAAAATGCACCCACATATTCAGACAGAATGCTGGGTTAAATGTCTTCCTGGAACCAGCTTGGACTGGTTATAAATAAATTTATTTATTTATTTATAAAATAAATATATTTTATTAGCAATTGTTCTCACCAGTTACTGCTGCTGAGGTGTATGATCCAGCTGATAGTTGCTTGATCTTGTGCTGCGTGGTAAAAAAGCTAATTAAATGAAATGTGGTCCTTTCTTCTGTGTCACCTAATCCCAACTGGCCTTCACTGTTACCTCCAGCAGCATAAACATTTCCTTTTTCTGCATACAGAAAAGCACAGGTAATACACAGAAAGAAGAAACCAGAGCAAGTAATTTATTTTTCAATGGAAAAAACATGACAAAAAATGTTAGGGTCTATTGCCCTGAAACACCCTCCAACTGAAATTAGCAGTTTCTCTTGTAGCTAGCAAGGTTTTCCTCCACACACTTGGAGCAGAATTTCCAAAAGGCCTTACATGTATTTAGACTGCATTTCCCACTATTCTGGAGACTGATGTAAAAATAAATGTGATTGAAAGTTCTGCAAGAGCTCTGAGAAAATGACTACCAGTAGCCCTGGCCGCTAAAAGCAGCTCCTTCCACAAATAATGTATATTTTGAGATAAAGTGGGAGGAAAAGGGTGCATGATGTCACATACAAGAAAAATGAAGCTGTATTAGTACATAAATTAAAGAAATTAATAACTTGATAATTTTGAGTACTGTGAATGAAATATATTTCTACTTAGTTTTTTATTAGAAATACTTTACTTATTTTAATATTTAAATAACTTCCAATTTAATTAACCAGGTAATCTTGAATTTAATGCTGATGACAGATATCTTCAACTTTAAAGAACTTCAAGATTTATATTTTTAATTTTAGTATGTTTCACATCTAAAGTGCTTATCTATGAAGAAACAGATACAGCCTATTATTAACACAAACCCAGACAGAAATGTGATAAATAAACTGACATGTAATTTATAAATGGCCACAAATTATCTAGCCAGTGTGTACACCAAAGGTGACTAATATTTACCCTGTGCAGTCTTGCATACTTGATTGTTATTAATATGTTCCATTTTATTCTAACAGTCTTATTTACAGTGTTCAGGGTCTCCACATACATAAACCTCCTAATAATCAAACAATCCTCTTTACAACATTACTGAAAGCTAAAGGATTGCAACCACAGAGATGGCTATTCCATTACATAAATCATAGAAGCATGACAAGAATCTTCATAAATTCTCTGTATGCTGTATCTCCACAAATTTAAGTTTAAATTTACAGTTTATTTATTTATAGCTTAATAAAGCAAATTGTCATTGAAATAGCAGATTATTTTGTATAACCAAATATGCAAAAAATTTGAAGACTTGAAAACATTCAGTTCTAATATATTTATTCAAATATATAACTTCACACTAGTAAAGATTATTAGTCAAAGGTAAATTTGAGTACAGATGCATATAAAAATAACAATATATCTTTACAAGTCTTAAAGGAAACATTCGTAATTGTTAACTTCAAATGCTAGCAAGAAATTTTTCTATATGTCTATTACTAGGAAACTACTATGTAACATTAGTTTATAAATGCATTTGCTCAGAATAAATTTTAAAAAATCTAAAAAATTCTGAATTCTAAGAACTGGATGTCAAATCCCTAAGTTTTAGAAGACCCATTTTCCTTTTTTTTTTCCCTTCTTCAACATTTCTGGGGTTATTAATGCAATTTTTCAAGAAAGCAAAGGAAGAAACGTATCTTGAATATGTATGAAATAGAGGTTACTTACCTGTGTAAACTAAAGTGTGGTTTCTTCCACAAACAGCAAGTTTTGGTTTTTCTGGTTTTAAAGCTAAGAATTAAAACCAGAGGAGAGAAAGTTACAAACAGGCTGATAGCTGGTTCAACAACAAAATGTTCTATGCTCTAGAGGGAGCTCTGATTTCTTCTTTCCACATTTTTACCAACAGAATTATTTCGTTTCATTGCCCATATGAATCTAGCACATGACTTATCAAATCAGAATTCCCCCAAGATAAGAAAATAGGTCAGACCTTAAAAATTTAAACCATTCAGCCTGATGATGGTTACTTCATCCCAATGCCACAGTCCCTGGAATTTACCATTTACAGGATACCCCTCAAAGCATATATTAAGTTGCAGGGTAAAATTAATAATTTAAGCTGTCTTCAGTTTTCATTAACAGTGCTATTGTTACTTCCCTCTTAGACTTTTCCTACTATTGTAAATCTTCAAAATCCTGTTCCTTTGTCTTACCATCCCTACCTCCCTTTGTTGTTCTCACATCCCTTTTCTGCTCTGTTGTGATCACTTCCTGATGACTGACCTCAATTGCCAAGGGCAGCCCCACCTGGACTAGTGTCTACATTTTTTACATGTGTCATGCCATCTCAATTTCAGCTGAGTTACCACCAATGAGAGTGCCATGGCACACAGTTCTCTGCAGTCTGGTCACTTTGAAAGACTGGGAATGTATGTGAGAGGAGTTAGGAGTTATTTTGGTGGGAAAGAGAAAATACAGAGGTTCCTCTTCTCTTATGACAAGTGCACTCCATTTCAGAAATAGAGAGGAAAAATGTCTCCCTGACTTTTCCATCCTTGCTCCAGTTACTGTTCATTGTCAACAAATTATCTTCTCTCAGTCATGTCCCCATAGCCTATATAATGCTCTAAACCAGGATTATTTTTAGATAATAAATCTTTAATTGCTTTTCCACTGCACTAGTCCATAACAAAACCAACAACAATCATCCCTTTCACAATCCCTTTTTCAGCCCTTCCAGATCAACTTTCATCAGCTCTTTAACACACAGATTAAGGTCCCTTCTACCAAGTCACCAAACAAATCTATCAACTTAAGCATGAACTTCCCCAGGTCTGTCACACAGATGCAAACTTAGTTTTTCCAAATTCAGATTCCTGCATCTTCTATCCAACACTTACCTACCACTACCATCAGGCTGGAACCATAACATTTCCAATGGTGGCTTCTTCCTACAATCTTTATGTCCCAACACTCTTCAGCTTCAGAGATAATCTTAGTCAGCTCTTTTGAAGCCTGTGCTCCCTAAACTTCCTCCCACTTAGGTTAATCAATTGTATGTTATGAGCCATGTTATATTTACAGTGTTGCTGGTGACTTTTCATAACCAATTTCATTAATCTCTAACCAAGACCCAGAAGATATTTTCTCAGAAAACATGCAGACACAAGCATTTGGCTCCAAGCAGAAACTGAAAAGTGTCCTTGCAACCCCACTCCCAAAGCCAAGGGATGACCAAAGGCTAGTGAGAAAAGCTCCAGGAATTCCTCCTGCTGTCTTACTGCCAAGAGAAAAAAGACACCCCCCTTGTGACTTTTTCAATGGATGCCAGGTGTGGTTTGAATTGCTGTCATCTTTTCTTCATCTTTTTTTCTCCATTGCAATTTGACAGCAAACCCAAAACTTGAAACCAAATGTATTCGAGCCAAGGTAAGAATCAATCTCTCACATGGCTGATGTGTACCTGAGAGGAGATGCATTCTCAATCTGAAGAGAGATGGAGGCAGGAGCAAATAAAGGACAGTAGAATAAACTAAATCAGGAAGAACAGAGTTTGAACAAGCAGGATAATTTGTTTTTAACAATAAGCTAACAGATCGATCTGCTGGCAGAAAGAGTGAAGATAAACATTTAATAGTAAAAAGAAATGTGTAATGGGATAGATCTGACTTGACATAAGTAAAGGGATAGGGAAAAGTATTGACTTAGCTTTGTTTGACAAGATAAAAACAGCTAGGAAAGATCAAGAAGATCACAGTGTAATGAAAACATATTTTCCTACCCGTAGGAATTTATTTTACTGCCTCATAAAAATGTATTAACATTTATGCCCCCTTGGGCTTTTCTTATACTTGTTAAAAATGTAGCAGTACTTGTGAAAAGTTTCTGATAGATTTTTTTCACTTACAAAGTTGCTAAGAAAGCAGTGACAGAGAGGTTACACAATGCTATTGGAACTCTGGTTTCTAACACATAGACAATGCAGAGACCAAGCGTCTGATTGTCATCTGCAGTAAAAAATGAAGATGTGGCTTGTCAGAAAAGGCAAATACTACATGAAGTCAGAGCCCTCAAAAATGACTGGATTCTATGTATCTGAAGTAATCTAGATGCAAAAGGACTCAGAATCTGAAGTAATGGAAAATCAATAAGGGACCCTTTCAAGCTACCTTCACGATCTTGTGTAGTAATGTGCACACATGATGAATAAAGAATCAGTTATTTTGGGATTGCATCCTATGAAGTACCTTTTTGCAAGGGTCTCCTTTCATAAAATAAAATCTAAAAAAAAAAAAGAAAAAAGAAAAAGAAAAATTACACGAACCTTTAACACACGTTGGTTTGCTGACAGTGTTCTTTGATCCTAGTCCTAACTGGCCCCAGTCGTTACTGCCAAACATGTATAGTTTACCTTTCTCTGAAAAAAAAATCATAGACAGAATCCATTCATATGTTTGAATATCTCATTCAAGACAAGATGGTTATGCACTCACAATGAATTTATTACTTCCTTTTTAATGTAAGGTTTAAGTTTAGGCAATTCAATATGTAAGTGTAAAGAGTAACTATCCTTGTGATTTTACAGTTCAAAAATAGTAGCTGCATTGTTTAAATAAGAAATCCCCAGCCAGAAGAAGAAACATCCTCATCTTTAATCACAGCACAGATGAAGCTGTGAAAACAGCTTCAGAAAACAAGATGTACTTTTGGACAGACCCTGCAGTTCAGAAACCATAGTATTCATCGACCCCCGTATAAAAGAACAGCACATGTAACTGAGCACCCTTACCCCAAAGACACAAATGAATAATGCAGCTTTGTGATAAACACAAGTACGGATTTCTAATATTTGGCTTATTTGATTGTTTAGGGTGGGATATTTCTTTTATTGCTAAATGTCTTAAAATTATTTACAAATATACATTTCTATCAATTGTCGTTTCTGATAAATTTTCACAAACTGTATTAATTTGTTGTTCTGAATATAAAGACAGAATGTGTAAATCCACCATGCAGTCATAGAATTTTGTAAACCTAAATGCAAACATTAGGTTACAAATGTTGAACAGGGACAACGCTAGAATCACCTTTAAGAAATTCCTATGATGTGTCACCAGACTTGCAGTTCATTGCAAACAATGAACTGTTATAATTCTGAACAACCAGTGCTTTTTCTGAGGATGGTATATGAAGATGAGAATTTTGTCATCTGGGATGAAAATTAGCCAAAACTGACTACTGACAATACCTTAAAAAGAACTCATTTAATTTCCTTTTTTAAACTATCACATCTTGTAAAGCTGTAAAGTTCCCACTGGAAAATAAAACCCTTGTTCCAACAGAAATCTGCAAAATAGAAACTGATTTATCAAAAAACCCCACAACAAAACAACATCCTCTCCCCAAAACTCCACCTTTTTACATCAATTAAAAGGACTTTGTTTACTTCTGAAGGTCTGCAGAGCTTTGTGTGTTGGACTCCAACATGTTGTCATCCTAAACAAAAATTTGATCATAAAGCTTGTCACCCTCTTCATCTACAATTACCACAACCACAATCCATAATAGCAATTTCATATAATAATGCCAAAATAATATGGCTGTTCCCAGTAAAGGTTCTGATTGTGATTTACAGAGACTTTGAAATACAATATTGCAATGCTTTAAATATTACTCCCAAAAAAATCCTATTCTAATAAAAATATCCATTCATTTTCTTAAATATAAGCGCACAGTTAAAAAGAAAAAAAACACACCAATGCTTAACTGGTGTCTAAAATCCTGATCAAATTTTTAGATTTTACAATTCTTGGCACGTGGGGCTATGTGCCAATATTATATCTTTCCAAGAAAGCTGGAAGGGAAGAAAGACAGAGGTCAAGTTCATGCTCACAGTGTTCTACTAACAGCATTTATATCTCCATCCTAATTTTGATAATGTAATCATGTCAAACACATGCAGAGCTGTCCCTGACAGCAAACACACCATTACAGAAAGGATTTTTATCAGCAAATGACATCTATCCTGTAGTGGTATGGCTTCCTTGTTTCCTTGCTTTACACTTTCCAACTGCTTTCCTAAGACAGCAGTATTTCTGTGGGAGTATGATGCCAAGCTGCCCTAATTCAATTTAAGCACATTCTCTTTTATCCATGCAAAATTCAAACAAGGTCATGCTTTTCATCCTATAATCTGCTGGGTTTTATATCAGTCTTTAAATTCTCAGGCATTGCTTTGTAAGTCAAGGAGCTTAATAGATGAGAGGAATTTTTTCACATTCTTTTACAACTAAGTGACAGCCTTTTATAACTTCAGGTTTCCTGGGAGTATAACAGCAAATAAAAAATCTGGGAAGCAGTTAATTTAGAAAGAGAATGAGAATTAATAGGCACTGCAGAGAAACCTAAACAAATGCCTGTAATGAAGCAATGTTTCTCGGTCTGTACAGCAAATCAAGTTGCAGAAGAGACATGATTCAATCTAAGCCGGCCAAGAAATCCAATATAATTTTGCATGCAAAAGGCCCAGTTTCATAACTGCATACTGATATCCTAGCCATCACACAGATGCACTGAATCCAACAGCAGACAAATAGGCAAGGGTCAAATTGCAAAATTTTGTAAACTCAAATTGCTCTTGGGTTTTTGCTTCAACTTTGGTGCTGTTATCCAGATTGGGGCCATCTGCCAGGTGGAATGGCTGCACAAGACAGGTCCAGCAGATAAGATTATGACTCTGGGCAGGAGGGGAACAACAGGATATAATGAAAATGTCTACTCAGACTGTTTTGGTGATGAAAACACACTTCCAACAGGAGTCTCCACCCTTATCCTGATGCAAAACTGAAGTATTTCTCCCAAGTATGTGTTCACTGGCAGGTACACCAGCAGATGTTTCACCAACAGTGATTCAGGGCTACCAAGGAAGCCACAAGACTCTTCCATGTGTAGCAATAGAGATTTTGTGAAACACTTCAGCAAGAGATTGTCTCCCACCTCATTTATCATGAATAGTTGCTATCATAGCTGTGATTCCTGGCAACCCCATCAGTCATGTGCACTTCTGGTTCATGAAGTGCTTCTAAAGGCATTCATTGGGCAGCTAGGAAACACCAGAGGAAATCCTGTATGCTTTGTTATAGCAGGCAGCCAAGTACTGTAATCACCTATGTTTAAAGGTATGTTTTACATATTCTCCCCTTTTCTTTTTACATTATATGAGTGTGGGAGAGAAATAAGATGGGGAAGTGATGTATAGTCCTTGAATATTTACTAAAAGATCCTTCTGAGAAACTGTATCTGAATAAGACATAAAAGGTAGTATTTTGTACAGAGTAGCAAATGCCAAGGCACCACAACTATTTTTTAAAATTATTTTTATTTGAGCTATTTAGTGAATAAATTATGTTGACAGATGATTTAAAACTCATATAGAAGTCAAATACATCCCAGGGAAATAGGAGTGGCATCAGTTTTGTTAGGCAAGTCATGATATTCTCAGAAACTTTATTGAGCAACAATAACAGAAATGTTTAGGACATTTGGCATCACACAAGCAAAACCAGCACAGTATGTTGTTTGCTCATATACATCAATACAAACGTGTACTAATCTTTCTCATTCTCCCCTTGCAGTTGATGCAAAAGATACTGTGCCATGTTCTGATGACCCACTAGTAAGCAGAATGAATAGAAGAAAACTGGTGACAAAACATCTGGAGAGATTCCAAGGTTTCTTTGAATATTTAATGCCTTACAAAACCTGAAATTAGGAGTATACTATCTTCTTGTGGTTCCATATGCACCTCTTTTCACTCCTACTTTTATAACTGATACTTCTTTCTTTCCTTCTTCCTTCTTGTGTTGGGGGCTTCAACTCTCTCCAGAGCACTGAGTTCAGAATAAGTGTCTTCATTAATCAGCATTTTCCCCCTTGTGAACAGGATCAGGCTCTTTGACTAAATGTGGTTAAGCTGCCTAGGACACTCTAATCAAGGCAAATAAACAATAAGACAGCTGTTAACTTTAAGAGTTTTGTAGGAAAGAAAATTTAATACACAGGCATTGGAAGGAGATTCTTAACAATATGCATATTCATACTTCTTCACACTAGTTCCCATGAGGATGAATTAATTGCTTTCCAAAGCCTTCAGTTATAGAAGATGCAGAGAATGGACCATCAGTATTCTTGGGCCAAAAAACACAGAAATGAGGCAAGAGCCATTATGAAACATATTACAAGTGATGCTGGAATATATATTGATCATGACTGCATTAAAGACCTAAAGAAAATCACTGCTTAAAAAAATTCCTGCTTGGACATTTTAATGAAGGTTATGCCAATGGTAGACAGCAAAAGAATAAAGAAACACAAATTTCAACCCCAAACTTCTTCCCTGGAGAAGAAAACACTTCTTCCACTAGCTCTGCAAGCCAACTCAAAGTCAGCAAGTAACTATCACTGGTCCCTTAAATTCCAACATGCAGCCACAGCATGCAAATGAAATTTTTGACTCTTAACTCCTGACCTAGAAAGGCATAAGACAGAGTATTTTATATTTACTTTACCCTTGTCTTTATAGGAGTCATATGGGAATATTGATGCTGGATTAGATGAAAGCTGTATTTGAAAGGTTCTGAATATTTTGTTTGAATGCTAAATATCAGCTCTTGTACATTCTCTTCACTAGTATTCAGTCAAGATTTGTTGCTAGTGATAGCTATCTCTCCTGCCCAAATCCAGCATTAAGGAGTGATTTGTATCTGGTTGGATGATTGTTTTACTTACAATTGCTGAGCCACGTTAAGTGTGAAATTTATATATTTTTGCATTTTAATCTACTTCATATTCCCACTATACCCTACAAATATAGCTCCCATTCCCTTTCAAGTTGTGGAAAAAAAAAAGGAGGGGGAAATTTTGTGACCTGTAAATAAAGACTGAAAGTAAAATGAAGCATGCATTAACACACACCTGCTTGAGATACTTTTCCTTCCTCGGCGATGTTTGTCTTTTATCTCTTCCGGGTCAGGTTCAGCCTCTGAAGAAGCTCCTGGTTTCCCACATGGTATGTACCCTCCTCAGTAAACTCATTATCAGCATGAGCCTCTGGATCATTTATTCCAGGTGTTACTGCAGCTCAGGTTCATTCCCAAGGGCTTAATTCCACTGTATCATCCAATTTCATCTAACTGAAGAAATGTGAGGTGCACATGGGCATGCACTGGTGTGAAGAACAAATGAGGGAGAAGAGCTTTTTCTTTCCCTCCTTCACTTTTTTGGTACGACTCTTGCAGTTTCTCTACCTTTGCTTGTTGTTGAGCCACACCTCACCCACACTTTTGCTTTTACTTTACAGTGATCCAGAAAACCTTTTTCTACCAAAGAAGTCATTTTCTCATACTTCCACAGTTCCTTGACTGCAAAAGCTTTGAGAAAATAAAGATCTGATCATTTAGAAGCCTTCCTGGTGACGTACCTGCCCACTACAACAGCTAAGGCAAGCTACTGAGACTCTTTTGAAACAAGCTGCATATACTAAAATAATGGAGAGAAGGGGAAATTGTACAGAAATGGTGCTGCATGAAAATCTCTTTTGACTTCTTCAAAAGCTTTATCTAAGTGGTCACTGTTACAGTGATATGGGAATTAGGGGATTGTTGCTGATTTGGGTTAACAGTGCTGGCCCAGGAACATGCTGGGAGGCAATTTAAATTGACTGGTTTAAACAGAGAACTGAAAGTGTGTTATTTCAGACTGGGTGTGGGTATATAAAATTATATGTAGAAAGAAAATGCAAAAGGAAAATGCCACAGTGCCCCAGGTTATATCCAGATTAATTTAATGCAACAGGTAATTTAATATTATTTGTTCAATCCAAGAAAAAGTGTCAAGCTTTGTTCAAAATAAACTATTAATGTATAATTCTTCTTCTGTGAAGTTAGGCTTGAAAAATTCATCGTGTAATTTCACCTCAGGGTGTTCTGCAGCCCATAAAATCTATAGTCTTTTTTATTTTGCCTGGAATAGTTCTTTCTAAAAATTCAGCATCTTCAATGTTGGTTGCAAACGTTGCAAGAAATCCTCAAGAAATTATTTAATAAGCAATGACCAATTGGGTATTGATGAGCAATAACTACATTCCAATTTTAAAAGTCCTGAAAATACACATATATTTTTTTCAACAACAAAGTCTTATTGTATGTCAGCAGTTGATTGTCAATACAATCATCACACATACTCAACCACAGAAGAATAGTCCCTTCCATTCAAATTCCAATCAAATAAAATGAACAAATTCTTTAATGAGCATTGTTTCCATCATTTCAAAGAAAATAAAAAACCATTAATAATGTTTACTCTATTGCACTGGAGTTTCTTTGAACACTTTTTCCATTTATTTCTGATTTCTGTAAGATTTTCTGAAATCCTTTATTGAGCTGCTCTTTCAAGGGTTATTTTCGTCTGACAGTTAACAGTAACTCCAAGCATCAATACAATACAAACAATTGTATTTATTGTTTCAAGGATATTTCTAGTGAACTCCTGGTGTTCAGCAGTTACTGTTACTTCCATGATACAATATATGTAACATACTAAACATTGTCAGATTCACAAGAAACATTCAGCCTGAATTAAGCTATGCTGTTTAAATCCTGTCATACACTCAGTTACTACAAACTTCCTCCAGACAGTTCTTGGGCATGTCCTGTGAAAACCTTGAGCAACCTCATACTAACTCCAAAAGCACCCAACAGTTTCCACAGCTCCTCTCTCCTCTCCCCAACCTGAATTAATGTATTATCTCAGGATGCAAGTAAGATTCCTAACTTTCAAATTTTAATTCAAAATTTTTATTTCAAAATTTCAAATATATCACCTTTTATCATACAGGTCAGCTTCACTACAAGAAAGACATTGAGGGGCTGGAATATGACCACAGAAAGGTCTGGAGCACAAGTCCTATCAGGGAAGCTGTAGGAGAAAAGGGGGTTCAGAGAAGACCTTATCACCCTAGAAGATCCTGAAAGGAGGTTGTAGCCTGGTGGGGGTCAGCCACTTCTCCAAGTTAACATGCAAGAGGATGTGAGGAAATAGCCTCAAACTGTGACAGGGAGGTTTTAGACCAGAGATTGGGAAAAATTTCTACATGGAACAGAATACCCAGGGAAGTGGCTGAGTCACCATCCCTGGAGGTGTTTAAAAGATGCATAGATGTGGCACTTGGGGACATGGCTTGGTGGTGCACTTGGCAGTTCTGGGTTAATGATTGGACTTGATAATCTTAAAGATCTCTTCCAACCTAAACAATTCTGATTCTATATCCTCCATTTATAATACTGACCTGTAATAATAGCTGTATGTTCATCTCCACATGATATAAGTACAGGCTTGTCATTTTTGAACCAGAACTTGCTAGGAATATCTTCTGCAAATTTGCTTTTCCCAAATGTGAAAACAGCACCTGATTCTGAAACACAAAAAGATAATGTCAGTTTTAGTGAAAGCAAATTTTGCCTCACATATTTTGAAACAGACATGTTCTATCAATTCATTGGCACATTTTATTTTCTTATCTTTCTCTTCCTTCTTCTCTCAGCCTTCAAACCATGAGTTGGCAAAACTCTCATTTCACCTAAAAAGGAGGAAGAACTTCTTTCCTGTGTGAGTGGCGGAGCACTGGAACAGGCTGCCCAGGGAAGCTGCGGAGTCTCCATCTCTGGAGATATTCAAAACCTGCCTGGACACAATCCTGTGCAACCTCCTCTGGGTGAACCTGCTCTAGCAAGGGGGTTGCATTAGATGGTCTCCAGAGTTTTTTTCCAAGCCCACCATTCTGTGTTTCAGTGGTAAAACCGTGATCTAAAAAATCCAAACAAAACCACCCCAAAATAAAGTCCAAGCAGCTTTTCAGGCTTTATAGTCTGCCTGTTTTTCACAATTCTTCACACTTTCAAAGTGTTAGCAACATTGTTTTAAAACACAGAATGTTAACTCTTTGTTCAGCTTTTGGTTAGGCATGTGGTTTGACAGAAAATACTAATTCTACAGAAAAATAAATGAACTTACAAGTTAAATAATTTGTCAAAATCCTTGCAGACAATTTTTTTTTTTTTTGTATCAGCTCAGATACAAAAGCTCAATTAAACCTCCTATTTTAAAATGTCAAAGCCTGTGGTATAAACATAGATTTAAAAAAAAAAAACAACAAATCCAAGAATAAATGAAACCTTTTCCTTGTAAGTTTTGTTACCATGTAACAAATGCTAGGAAATACATACAATAACAGTAGACTGTTTCTGAAAGTTACACTGAGACATCCAAGTGCATTTACTTTCAATGATAACAGTCTCATCAACAAGATGCACCCCAGCTCCAGAAACTGAAAGTTCTTTCTTAAACTGTATATTTAATTTTTATTTTAAATAATTATTTTATGCAAAAGCTTCCCCTATTTGCAAAGATGTTGTTCTTATGTATCAGATGGAGCAGAGATGTATAAATTATACTTATCACCTGTGTTTTTTCACTTCCACTTTCTCAGCCAGCTTTGTGCAGACAAACTCAAGCCTTTTTAAAGAAAGAGTTTTCCCTTATTTTACCTGGACACACATACAACTATAGACAAACTAAACAGCATCAGAAAACTCTGTTTTAAGTTTTCATCTCCAGCCAGACAGCCATGCACTTCTGAATTTTCTTAGCGGTCTCTTCAGCACATAGAGAGCTCTTAGGTTCATTTATTTTCCCTTCAGAAGGGTTAACATGAAAACATTTTATGTTCTTCATTCAATTTATACAAAAACCTGATAATTTTCCCAATGTCTTTTGTTTCTCATTCATTTGACTAAGCCACAGCATTTCACAACTTGACAAAACTACAGTGCCCGGTTCTGGGCTCCTCAGAAGGAGCGAGACATGGAGCTCACAAAGCAAGTCCGGGGGGAAAGGGAGCAACAAGGATGACTGGGGGACAGGAACATTTCTCTTTGGAGGAAAGGCTGGGGGATTTGGGCCTGTTCAGTCTCGAGAGGAGACAGCTTACAGGGAATCTTACTAATGTGTATACCTAAACGCAGGGGGTGCCAGGCTCCGATCGGTGTTGCTGAGCAATAGGGAAATACACAACGAGCAGAAAAGGATGCTCAGGAAGTTGCACCTGAACAAGAGGAAGGAATTCTTTCCTGCGCCGTGACCGCGCGTGGTGTGGAGTCTCCCTCACTGGACAAATCCCAGAACCGGCTGGATACAATCCTGGGCCATGTGCTCTGGGATGGCCCTGCTTGAGCAGGGAGGTGGGACCAGAAAACCCGCGGCGGTCCCTTCCAGCCTGACCCATTCTGCGCTTCAGCGCTGCCGTCAGTTTGGAAACCGAATCCCATCAACTCGGTAATTTAAATCCCACAGGACATACACGAGGCGTTTGTTGTCCCAGCAACGAGCAAACGTTTGAACACTACCGTAGGCCAAACCGCGGCACAAACTAACTATTAATGTTCAGAATTAACCCTCCCNGCAACGGGCCCGGCCCGGGCCTGAGGGCGCGGGGGGGAAAGGGCTGGAGGAGGGTGCGGGATCGGAGCACAGATCACTGCTCTGGCCGGGGAAAGGGCTGGAGGAGGGTGCGGGATCGGAGCACAGATCACTGCTCTGGCCGGGGAAAGGGCTGGAGGAGGGTGCGGGATCGGAGCACAGATCGCTGCTCTGGGAACGATCTCTGGGATCACCGGCTACAACCTACGGGCAGCCCACCATGGCACTCGATGTCACTTCAAGTCGTTCCTTAAACACCTCCAGGGACGTGGCTCCAGCCCTCCCCGGGCGGCCGGCGGTGGGGAGGCACCGGGCCCTGAGCTCCCGGGGGAAGCTTCCCTGTAAAACTGACCCCAACAGTGCCCAGGTCGTGCCCCTGAGGAGCCCGGGCCTCTTGTTGGCCAAATCAATACTGGACCCAGGACCGATGGTCTCCTTTTCTCTCTCTTCCTACCTTTTTGGTTTTCTTTATTTCTCTTGCTACTAGGAGATAAGGAGCTCACTTATACCAGTTAACATGCCACATGTATACTTAACTAATAAAACTTTGATTTTTTTTGGAGCCTCTGGCATTTGCCTTCCTTTTCAACCACGGACATCTGTAAATTTTGGCTGCTCCCTTCCTTCTTTCACAGGAGATTACCATGAAATTGGTCCATGTGGGAACTGGGCTCAGGCAGGCTCTGTACAGGGGTGTGGTGGATTGGTGTTCACTGGACACCAGGTGCCCACCAATCCACTTCATCTCTATCCCTTCTCAGCTGGACAGAGGAGAGAAAATAAGAGGAAGCATAGGTTGAGAGAAGGCAGTTTACTAAAGCAAAAATGAAAGGTTGTATACACAAAAGCAAAGCAAAAAAACAAATATTTTTTTTTCTCTTCCTCCCCTCAGTAAGTGATGTGCAGCCAATTACCAGAAGCAGGACTTAAGCACCTCATCTTTGCTCCAGAAGGCACATTTTGTAAAATAACAAATGCTCCCCCTTCTTCCTCCTTTCCTTAGCTTTTATCTCTGAGCCAGTCTCACATGATATCAAATATCCCTTTGGTTAATTTTGGTCAGCTGTCCTAGCTGTGTCCCCTCCCAAGATCTGGTCCACCCCCAACCTACTGATGTGTGGTGGGAAATTGGAGAGACAGTGTTGGTGCTATGCCAGCGCTGCTCAGCAGTACCCAAAAAGATTGGTGTGGTACCAACACCTTTGTGGCTACCAATGCAGAGCCCAGCACTGTGAGGGCTGCTGTGGGAAAATGAACTCCAGCTCAGCCAGGCCCGGTACAAAGTGTGACCTGACAAAGAGGCATTGGCATTGTCCCCTCCCTGTGAGACTGCAGGATGAGACTGGAGGCCTTGGTACCCCAACCACATTTGCTTTGTCTGCTGTCTTTTCTCCTGGGTGTCACTACTGACACAAGCTCAGCCCCCAGGGGCCAGGCTTGAAGGTCATGGGAGTCATTTGCCAGAGGACAACCAAGAGGAGAACCATGGCCTGGCTTTCTTCTCTTTCTTCTCTTTCTTCTCTTTCTTCTCTTTCTTCTCTTTCTTCTCTTTCTTCTCTTTCTTCTCTTTCTTCTCTTTCTTCTCTTTCTTTCTTCTCTTTCTTCTCTTTCTTCTTTTCCATTCCCTTACTGTTAATTTCTCTTGGATTTTTACTTCTGTTTGACATTTCCCCTGGCAACTGATTACTTTCCCAAGCATCTCAGGGTTGGTTCAGCATGAGGGGTCCTGAACAATTCCCACCAGGAGCTATCACCCTGCACGGCTTTTTCACTGTCTACCTTTCCCAGGGAGTCAAACTTTTCCTCTTTTTGTTTTAATTATAAGTTCCTTGCATTGTAATTTCAATGTATCACCCTCTCTGACAGATATGCCATCACCTTGATTTACACTAGTGAATCTCTCCTTACAGGGAGGAGGAAATGAGAAAATAATGGTCATATTTCAAAACCACCTACAGTGCAGGTGGCATAAAATCTTATCTGACAATTATATTTGAAGGTAGAGACTTTAATGAAATCACTTTAGTATTTAGTGATTGACCTACTTCAGATTATCAGCAAGCAGTTTAGCCTAAGGAGGTAGGCAGGCTGCAATATTTCACTTTCTGGGCCCCACACTGTTTAACACTACCACAGCATAATTGAAAACTTGGTCCGAAAAAAAAACCAAACCAAAAAACCCCAAAAAACCAAAACCAAACCAAACCAAAAAAACTCCTAAAAACCCAGGAAAATGTAGATTTCTTTAATGCAGACTACTTCATCTTTGTCAGGGCCCCAAAAGCATGAATAAGTCTTTATGCCTTGCCCAGCTCCATACCCATGGGCCTCATTTTGGCTCAGCTCAGGGCCAACAGTCCCTGCCTGGGCTGTGCTAGAGCCCCCTGGCCACAGTCCCAACCCTAGGGGGGCCACCTTGCTCATGCTGATCCTTCAAGTCTTCTTTTGCCTTTTTCTATCAGCACGTGCTCCTGTACAAATATTTAACATGAAATAGCTATGAAATAGTATTGACACAGGTATGATATGACATGATGAGCCCACACAGAAGAACACAAACTGCGAGTGGTGCAATGGGGCCTGGGAGAAATCTCTGTATCTGTAAGGTTTGACCAAAGAGAAGGTTCAGGGTCAGCCCCAGTCTGGCCCAGCTCTGTCTGGAACAGCCAAAACAAAGACCTTGGTTCTTGGTTTTCCCTCATTTGCACAGCAGCACAGCTCACCCTCTGCTTCCTACACCTTCCTTCCTCATAACTTTATTTGTGGGTTAAAAGAAGTCTTAATGCAAACAGAAGATGCTGTTGAACGGGAGGAATTTCACCAGCATTTCAAAACTAGCAGGGACCAGCAAGCAGCTGCTGCAACACTTTTGGTGAGCTTATCCTTTAATTTTATCTGGTGTGTGGTGTTTGGTCAGAAACCTGGAGTCAAAAGCAGCGGAATCCTGTGAAGGAGTGAGTGTTCTAGAGAAAGGCTCTGGGTGAGGGGTTTCCCTGCAATTTCAGTGTCCTTTTACCTCACTAGGAAGCAAGTTCTGGGACTTCAGGAGACTGGGGTATTATCGATTTTTAGTGTTTGTGGAATATCATTAATTTGTTCTGTGAAATTTAGCTGCAAAGTCAGGAAGGAATAGTTATTCATGAGGTCAGTGTGTGCTGCAGGTACTGGAACCATTAGATATCTGAATAAAGTATAGGTAACCTTTCTGCATTTAGACATATATCCTGGCCATATTTGGGGAATATATTTGGGTGGGGAATACTCTCCTTGAAGCTGCAAGGTGAATCTCTGCCTCATTATTTTGTGTCTCTATATACCCTGGAGGCACACGGGAAAAGCGTGATGTGATGGGAGATTCAAAGTGAAGCAGGCAGACCAGCCTCTGTGACCTGGCTTTGGGTTCTTTCTGCACCCACACAACTGTGCCTGTCCCCCCTGATTTCAGGAAAGTACCCATATGACAGCATTTCACTAAGCTGCCTCTCAGGTTTGTCACTTCTCCAAAATCAGGTTGAAATTTTCGAGGTGAAACTAAATTCCATGTTTTCTCATGGTTTTAGGTCAGCTTCAATAAGAATAGAATTAACACTTGTTATATAACAAGTGATTAGTTCTATAAAACAATATGCATAAATTTTACATTCACAGGAATCCTAATATGCAGTGTTTTTTGTTTATAATTTCTACATTACATCATATGAAAACCAAATGTTTTCCAAGTTCTATGATTTATTTGTCACAGTTTTAGAGTGGTCCTAAAGACTAGATGTTAAATTTTTTTTAGAAATTTTTGATTTTTACTGCAGCCAGTCGGGAAATTTCTGCAATTAACAGAGGTGATGGAAAAGCAGGTTTGGAAAACAACTGTAGTAAAGTTGGTTTTCTGAGGAAGAAAACTGATTTGTTAAGTTCCACACACAGCATTCTTACTTTTGGTGGGTTTTTAACATTATAGCATAACGTTGGCATGAGCTATCACCACTGTCTGTGAGTATAACCAGCTAAGGACACTGTGTTTGATACTTCAGGATATCCTAGTGTCTGTGAGTCTGTGCTAACAGTCCAAAGTTATGCTGTCCCTGCTCAGAAAGGAAGAAGCCCAAACTGCTTGACCTTGCACTTCTGCCCATTACATTTTAACTTTGGTATGTTGTCTCATGCTCCTTCTCTGGAATGAATTTTTTTCCATTTCTGCCCCTATTTCAGATATGGATAACAGGGAAGGGAACAAATTTCTTGGAGGTCATAGCAATAAAACAGAATCTTCAAGGGACCAGGAGCAGATCTCTAGTCCAACTTTCTGCTTGCAGCCTCTCAAACATCATATGAGAGCAGCTATGCCTTTGCTTAACCATGTCTTGAAAATACTTAAGGATGGTAATTCCAAATCCTCTTCAGGTAGCCAATTTAAGTGCTTCACTATCTGCCAGTGGAGAAATCAGTGGTGAGTATTTCTCAGTCCAATTCTCAGTCATGCCAGATGGTGAAACAAGACCTATGAACAGAAGCTGTTATTTGGCAAATTGAGATTAGATAATCTCTAAATCCCTGGAAGGAATTACAGGCTGAAATGAGAAAAACAAGGAGCAGCCCCAAAGCTGTTCTGGAAACAAGGAGGCAAAGGACAGTAGGGAGCAGCAAGCAATTGCACAGATTTTAAAGCAGGACAAGGTTAGTTTTTTCCCCACAAACAAGTTAAAAAAGCAAATCCCTGTTCTGAAAACTTAAAGTAATTAGAGAAGTCGCAGTTATAAAACAATTTCCCTTCAGAACATACCAGTGAAAATTAAAGCCAATCCCATGATCATAAACTAAGTGTCTTGGTATTCAAGAGTGGATTTCTATATCTTATCTTCATGGACTGTTTTTCATGGTGTGAAAGTACCTGATCATGCCCATATACTTGCTTCCATTTTCTTCTCTCTGCTTCGAGCTGGGAATGTGCTTGAAAACACATGTCCAGCAGACAAACATTTGCTGTCTGCTCTGGGAGTCCACATGGCTTTGGGACCTTGTCACCTGCACAGCTCCCTTGCAAGGCACAGCAGAATTGCCCTCTGTGATCCATGGCACACACTGCAATGGTCTGGAATTCCAGTTTCCATCAAGGAAAAGATGTTCCTGCCCTCTAAAGCAAAGCTCTGAAAGGGCTGAAACCCAAGCAGAGCAAGATCTTACAGTGACATCTCACGACCAGCCTTCGTAACTTCATCAAGGGCTGATTTAGCATGTGAATTTGGCAAAATGATGTGGTGAGGATTTTTGGCTGGAGCTGCCATGGGTAAAGATGGACACCAGGAAAGAAACAGAGCAAGCAAAGAAAAGCAGAAGAGAAAGGAGGACACAAAGAGCACTGAACTGAGAAGGTGGCACTCTGAAAACCGAAGTGGAATTTACTGTAAAGGAATGTGACAGAAACAAAGAATTTGGATAGTTCTGAAATGGCTTAAATCCAAGTGGAACAAGAGCCCTGAGGGACAGCCCTCTTCCCTGGCCTGCAGCTGCAGGAACCTCTGCCCACCAGTCCCTGGCTGTGTCCATCTGGTCAGTGGTTTGTGCCCTGTTCAGCCAGGGCTTTGCAGTGTGGGGCTCAGGCTGTCATGTGGGACCGTGTCCAAAGCCTCATGGGGGGATATCTGGGAAAATTTCCCTGGCTGTGGATTTCAGGGCTTGGCAATTAGCAGGCGCTGCATCTGAGCCTAGTCTCAATGGTGAGCTAAAGGGAACTATAAAACACAAATACAATTGGAAATAGAAACGTATTAGCTGCACTCAGTTCACTTCTTTACACTGTTTCGATCTCTATTTCATTGGATCAGTCTAAAAAGGTTGATTTTAAATAAAAAATACATGATTTTCTCATACCCATCAAAACCTTAGCAAGAGGACAGCTGGGCTGTGTAGTGCTAAGGCAGGCTAGTAAGGTAAGTACAGAGCCAGAGAAAAGTAAGTACAGAGCTGCCACACTCCCCGTTAATCTTTCACCTGTAAAACATTGGCTTGGACAAGACTTTTATTAAGATGCCTCATCTAAGCTAGAGGAAATTTCATTGTGTAACTTCTGTGGGTGATTATCAACATCCAGTTTCATGTAATTCTGAAGTCCTAAGTCTGGATGGAGGACAGAATACACTGTATAAACACCACATGTCCAGAATGTCTTTTGTGTGGTATGGGCTGTTTTGTTGGGTTTTTATACCCTTTTCCCCAGTGTAATGAAGAGATTTCATACACAATTATAGAACTACCACACTTTGTGGGAGTGGGGTTGAAATGTGGCATCAACTCATGCACAAAGCATTGAGGAAGAAGAAACAGCACAGATATCAATTTCTGTTATTCTGTCCCCTGAAAGAGCAGCTTTGGGGTCTACAAGAAGTCATTTTACCAATTTCTGAATGGTTTTATTTGACAGGCAGCATGCAGTTGTATGCGTCTCAGAAGGCAGAAGAAAATACATCTAATTACATTTTATAATACAGTTTGAAATGTTATTACAGTGGCCATTGATATAGTGCACAGTGGCTTGCTGTGTCTGTCTGACAGAAGGAGTTAGTTAAACTAATTAACACAGTCTATCAGGATGATCCAGCTGGGTCATGTGAGGGGAGTGAGAGAGATTTCAGGTGCTTGCTCACTGGCTTTAGCACATGTACAATTTAGCACTGAATGCAAAATACACACATTTTTTGCTCTTTTGCCAAAGGTATGGGACACGAGCGCAAATGAATGTTCATCTGAAAGGTCGGGACCTCCTTACTCTACAGAACTACACAGCTGATGAACTGAAGTATTTGCTGTGGATAGCATCAGATTTGAAACAAAGGATAAAGCACAAAGGAGAGGTAAAATGATTTAACTGTCATTTAGGTCCTTCAGATGTTGAAATAAATACTGTTCTGAAGAGTATTGTGAGAAAGCCTTTCAGCTGTCTTGTCCTAAACAAAATCTCATGAGCTCTTTAATACTGTAAATCATGTGCTACAAATCAAAGAGCCTTCCTGTGAAGTGTGCAGAGATATTCTTTAAACACTTCAGAAGACTTTGTGAGTGGATAGGTTAAACAGGTTTGTGCAGCTAACTCCCTGTTGTCAGCTAACCTCATCCATCCACACACAGTGTACATGCAGCACTAAATGTAGGAAACAGAAGATACTTCCCTTCATGGGATTAAATTAGTATCTGAGTTTTCCTTAATGCTGGCTCAAATTGAGTGCCAAAATGCAGTTTCTTTTGGGCCTAGAATTCCTTCTTTGCCTTTAACTTTTCCACAGCTAATAAATTTATTGAAGGGCAGGAGAATAAAACCACAGGTAAAAAAATCCACTTTGGAAACTTTTTAAATGGTGAATTAAAAAGTGCAAGAAGTATTTCATACTTTAAACTGTATAGTGATTATAAAATTGAAATGCCTTCATTTTTCATGTTTCAGTATTTGCCTTTGATGCAAGGCAAATCTTTGGCCATGATTTTTGAGAAGAGAAGCACAAGAACAAGATTATCTGCAGAAACAGGTAGGTCTGAGCACAGTAAGGCTTCATGTGAAACTGTATATACATTGAGTATGTACTAAGAAACACTGCATAATTTTGCATTTAGCAATTGCTACTCAGGAGAAACCTAAACTTTGAAATCAAAAATTAGAAAAGAATGGTGGCTACGTGTGTTTCACCCTGCATTATTAATTTCACAATCACATGGCTTTGGTATCTGAAATTTTGTCAAAATCTTGCCAAACACAGTAGATCAGAAATAAAATAACAGGCAGAAGTAAGCATTTCTGTTCTAAGCTCCTAGTTGTACTGGCAAGATATACATTTCCTAACATCTACTTTAGTAAGCATCACAAATTTAATTTTGTGCAAAATCTAATAAATATTTTCCTAATGTAATATGCATTACCATTGTTACATTTCAAAGTATGTGTTTAGACTGGAAATCACAGTAATGCCTTTATATAAATTCAGGAGAAAAAATTAATATGATTACCTACAGGGGAAGATAACTTGATGAAAACTCAAGGGTATTAGCCTAATAATATCAGGCACTGGAACATTTTTCTTTTAGGTTACAGTCCTGCCAACACTGAAACATGTACATATGGTATCTTTATTTACATGGTAGTTGTTCTGAATTCAGTGGCACTGCTGAAATAAACCATTCATCATTCATAACATTCACAGCATTCATAGCAAGAAATAACTCTGAAATGGTGATTCATCAAGGAAGCTCTTCTCTCATTTAAGTTGACCCAGCGTCCCTCACTTTCCCCTAGTGAAGGAACAGGGAACCTGTTGAGTATTCACATTTCTTTACAAGCTGTAAGAGAGAAGGTAAAAATAATGGAAGGAAAAAGCAGATATGTAAACTTCAAGCATTTCTGAATTTTCCTTGATATTGTCTGGCACAGCCATTTGCCTGCTGATCCTGCTCTTTAATCAGACTTGTGGCTTTCTGTTTTCTTCAGATAATGAGGACTTACTACTGCGCATTCCCTCTCGGTGAAGACCACCCACCTTTTAATTCCTGAGTTTTTAGTCCAGTTTCTTGTTGCCTGCCATCCTGGTATATGGCCAGGTAATGAATTCTCTGGATCTGTTTATCCTTCATTCTTCTGTATTCTGAGGGAAACACTACTTAGTCCTCGGCTTTTGAAGGCTTATGGAAGGGGGAAGCTCAAGAAAGTTCAAATTAATTAAGTCAAGGAAAGGAGTTAATGCACATAAATTCATCCAAGAGAGAATTAAGCTTCAGTGAAATAAAACAAATTTATTTCTGAGTGAGAGCTTCCACAAGGGAGTTTAATGCAGTTTAGCTTCTTTGCATTAACTTCACACCTTCAGTTAATTGGTCTTAAGTCTGTTAAGCCTAAGACTTTGCTTCAAAGGCAGACTGAAGTTTTTTCTGTCCACAAAAATTCTATACATTTCAGCTGCTTTTTTAATACGAATAACTCCCTCCCAGAATTTCTAACTCAAAACAAATATTGGGGCCACATATGTTCCTTTTAGCTAAACAAGATAATTTAATACAAATTTTCTAATGTCTAGTGAAAGTGGACAATTGCAGTGGACTCACTGAAGTGTTTATTTATAAAGTTCCTGAGACATCTCAAATAGCACTTCCCAAGAGCTGACCCTTCAATAACTTGAGAGAGGTCACTTGTAGGGCAAGGTCCTGGGGATGAGATTAATCTAAGCAAACTTTGCAACTCTCAGAAACAGCTAAATCAGTGGATTTCATTAAAGAGTAGAGACTTGGAAAGCACTGATTACAAAATCTTCTCTGTGCAGTGTCTAGGAGTTCGTTGGGACATATTAACACCATGGGAGTCTTTTCAGAATTCCTACTGTCCCTGTGCCTATAAAGAACAACATTATTGAAAAAGAAATAAGCAGAATGGTTGAAGTTGGAAGCAGTCTCCAAAGGTCATCTGGTCCAATCCCCTGCTCAAGCAGGGTCTTCTAGATCCAGTTGTCCAGGACCATGACCAGAAGCCTTTTTGAATATCTCCAAGGATGAAGATTCCACAATCTTCTGTGGCAACCTATGCCATTGTTCAATCAGCTTTTCAGTAAATAGAATTTCCTATTCAGAGGGATCTTCCCAGTTTGTTCTCACTGCACTACTGAAAAACACCTGGTTCTGTCTTCTTTGCCTCATCCCTTCAGGTGTTTATATACACTAGCAATATCCCCCTGAACTTTCTGTTCTCTAGGCTGTGCTGTCCCAGCTCTCTCAGCTTTTCTTCTCATAGAAATATGCTTCATTCCCTCAGCCATCTCTGTGACCCTTTCTTAACATGGACATACCAGCTGTATCCAGTATGTCCATGTTTCTCTTACTGAGGATCCCAAATTCAGACTCTTGAGGTTTGATCTCACCAGTGCTGTATGAAGAGGAAGGTTCACCTCCCTCCACCTCTTGGCAGCATTTGTCTGGTGCGGTCCAGGACACCATTCACCACCCTTGCTGGAAAGGTACACACCTTGCTGGATCATGTTCCATTTGTCCACCAGGACTCCTAAGTCCTCCTCTGCCAAGCTGCTTCCCAGCTGGGAGGCCCCCATCATGTCCTGGAGCATGGGGCTGTTTTTCCTCAGGTTCAGGACTTCACATCTCTCCTTGCTGAACTTCATGGGGCTCCTGTCAGACCATTTTTCCAGCCTGCCAGGATATCTCCTTCTTGCCCTTCTTTAACTTAGGGATGACATTTTTGCATTTCTCCCAGTTGTCCAGATCAATTGAAGATTATCAAAACATTAGTTTATGACTCATTGTAATAGATCAGTTGATATTTAAGGTTTTCCAACATCCTGTTTTATTCTAATGACATTGCAACTGTACTGAATAATATATGATTCCTTGAGGTATAATTCATTGCCTCTTTAATCTTGTTCTAATGTGTATTTCTGAAATCCATATAATTTTACCATTTCTAAGATGAGTAGTGATGTTGTAAGTTTAATGCAGAACTAGAAGTAACTTCCACAGAGTAGTGGCAAAGTAAATCCAGTCTGTGAGCCTAGTAGATTTATTTCTATCACTGGCTATTTTATTGGAAAATGTGACATATCTGCTATTACACTGGAAAATGTCACCTCTTCACAGTCAGAATCCCATACCCATTCTGCATAAAATCTTGTGTACTTTTTGAAAACAGAACTATTCACATGGTCATATATTACTTGTAAAATAAACATCCTCGGGCATGGCACAAAGGTGAATGCTCTGTTTTTGTTATAGCTTTGGTGTAAAATATTCTGATTGTCACTGTTGCTCTTAGAATATACAGCTGCAGTTATGTTTTAGTGAATAAGTCATAAATAAATCCAACCATTTCACAAATACTGAATGCAGACTATATTTCACAGGGTAGAAATGGAGACAAAGCAGTGCAGGTAGGAAAGCTCAGCCTCCCTTCTTTTGTTGTGCACTGGAATATACAAGATCTTAACAGCCTTACAGGGGTACAGAGCCACTGGCTTTAGTGGAATTACTTCCAACTCACTCCTCCTACACAGTGGGGTGAGAGGAACATGATGGCCATGCCTGAAGACTGCTACACAGAGTCACAGAAATAATTGCATCATAGCATATGAACTAATGTAGTGGGGATGGTATTACATGGCACAGGTACAGGGTCTGTTTTCTGTTGGAGTGGCTAAGTATTATTTAGCTTGGCCCCTTTACAGAAGACCAAAATGCACTCTTAGTTTACTCTCCACTTAAAAGGGTAGCTTAAAAATAACTTTTAAAAATTGCTTATCAGTTTTTAGTTTCTGCTTTAGGAATATTCTGTAATTGCTGCCTAGGAGAGTTCTTTGTTATCAGTCTAAATGGAAAAATGCTTTCTATTTTGTACATCTGGGCAGAAAATGAGGAAATTAATAAATGCAAATCCATATGTCTTGAAATTCTGAAAAAGATCCTTCTTTTTTTGAGAAGATGACTCTGTGTGTCTCCTGGCGACAGCCCCAGAACTCTGTAGCCAACCTGTGAACGACAGTATTCCTTTTGGCCTCTTTGCCCCACGTAGCAGGGACAGCCTGGGATGAAGATTTCACTCATGTCCTGTCTGAAAGAGTCTGAATAAATGGGGTCAATAATGTGCCACAGCATGAGGTGTGAAAATGTATTTTTAAAACTAACAGTAATGAGAAGTGTGGACATGAAGCAATAATCTATTCTGGATTTGCAGTATGAACATTTAGTAGTTTGTTGATTCAAATAAATATTTAGCATGTGGCTTTGGATATGACCAGGTTGTGACAACAAAGAGGATTAGATCTCCCAGTTTAACACGGCACTCCAGTGTTTATTTGCTGAATTGGTGCCTGCATACCTTCAAAAGTCATCTTTTTTTTTTCCCCTTTGTAGGTAGTTTGGATGAAAGAATCTGAAACGATTCTGTCTCTGCAACTATATACAAAGCTAGAGCATAGAGCTCCTGTATTTCCAGATGGAAAGTTTTCAATGGAAATATGTTCCCAAGCCCTGCACAGATGGCCGGTTCATGAGCAGAAAGCCCAACACATCAGGGCTCTGCTATGTACACAGACTCCAGGTGGCAGCTCTGACTGGGCTGCCTGACGTCTGGCAATTCTGAATAAATGTTCAGATTCCCATTTTTTACCTGGGTGTCATTTATAGAAAACAGAACATGTCCACTTGAGCCTGCCTGGATTGTGAGTCATGTACCAAAATGTATGCATTTAGAATCCTGAAATGCAGAGCTGCTGTATTGTGTGGAACTCGCAGGCATAAATCACTGACATAATTGTATATGACTCCAAAAAAATACATAAGAATTTGGGAAGGAAAAGTTACTGCCAACAACAGTTCATCCTTGAGGTCTTGACTTAAAAATGTGCACTTAATAAACAGGCTGTAATGTGTAGTTTGCATACACAGTGCTCTAAATACAGTGTTTGTGTCTGAACTGCAGAGGGGAGGTGAAAAAAGCAATAGTAGAATAAATAGCCCTTCATTCTTAGAAGTCTTCCGTGTCTGACTTGCAATATTGTTGCAATTTGGAGCAATTCTTAAAGAAAACAACAAGCAATTAAGAAGAGCCCGTTCAATAAAATGAGCAGACACTGGCTAGGGGAGCAGAAATTTGCCTTTCATCAGTGACCTGGAGCATCATTACTTTTAATCTGACATTTAAGGAAATTGAGGCATCCAAAGATAATGATTTGCCAGTATTGTTTTTTATCTATTGTATTTTAAACTCCAGAGGCTGTCTGAACTGATGTAAAGGAGAAGACCTCACCTCAACCCTGCTGCTGGCAGGAAAAGGTGGTTAATAATGATTGCTCTGTGTAAGGAGCCCAGCTGTGGGGCCCAGAGCTGCTGCCTGTACCTGTTGGTTTTATCTGTGAAACGTTTCAGTGTTCAGTCCTGGTTTAATCCTCTTTAAAAAAGTAGCTGTGGGACAAAGTTTGTAATGTATGACAGACCTGTACAACCACTGTGCTAAAGCTGCAGTGCTGAATCTGTCAGCAGTGCCATCTAATGGATGCAGCCAGCCTGAGCAGCTTTTGACCTTTTCTTCTAGTTTTAATTTCCTTTTCCACTTCTTTTTTTCTCTTTTTTCCTCTCTCTTTTTAATTTTATTTTTTGTTCCTCTAACAGCATGAAATTCATCAGCATCTCCAACACATCACAGTTTGGCAAAAAAAGTGGGGGTCTCTACTCTTCTGTGCTATGTGCAGCCTTTCTCTTCCTGGCAATATAAATATAAAGATGGGCTTCTTTCTAGATTTTTGTCACAATAAAAGACTCACAGCCCACAGTGTTGTGTGAACAAGGCTGTTTTTTCCATACTAAAACTCTCTGAAAATTTCCTCCATCAGAAATGTGAGTGACAGGGCAGAATCTGCCTACAGAACATTTCTGTACTGAAAGGGAGTTGTTCTTATCACACAGAAAATGCCTTACAGGGCCACATACAAACCTGTTCCAATCGTGCACTTTGTACATTTCCAGCTGTGGGACCCTCTGTCCCGTGCTAGGCTTATGCTAAACCATCTGTGACAATTCATAAAGCAGTCCCATCAGGCCCCATCCTCCCAATGTGTGGCCATGAGGGACTTTACACTCAGGTTCAGTAGAAAGAGGCTTCAGACTTAAACCAGGCATGGTTTAAGGCAGAGAGACTCAGATGTTGGTGAAAAGATGTTTCTTGCCTGTCTGTGTCGGATGGTTGCTTGTGATAACTTTCTATTGGTGGTGGAATTAAAATAAAGCAGCAGAGAACCTGAGAGTTGCCCTTGGCATGCAATATGTCTTCATTCAAAACACTCTGTAGACACCTTTGTAGTTCCCCAAAGTGTTTCATATTCTTCAATGATGCTCAAGTCTTTCTCCTGCTCACGAATGGATTTTATTCTTCATACCAAATCCATCCAGTGCTTTGGACTACCTTGCAAATTCCTAACTATTGCAGGGTAAAGGGATGCTGGGAGGGCCTGAAAGCTTTCAATTTTCTCTCTCTCACATTATCATTTTTAAGGCACTTGGTCATTTGAGACCAAATTCAAGTTTGTTACAGTGTATGAGGCAGCCTAGGGCTTTCTGTCTGACTTTACATGAAAGACAAGGTTGATCCCTGTAAGGATGCAGTGACTCGGATGGCTCTTCCAGGATGCAGAGTCCCATGAAGCAGAAATGCAGCGTGATGAATGGATTACCTGGCACTTAACAGGCAGCAACAGTGATGCTTGTGGCAATGTGTAGCCTTGGAGTTTGCATGACTGTTCCTGTGATCACAGATCAGAACTCATGGCTAAGGATTTCAGTAAGGCATACATTTGACTGGGTTTATTCCAAAGCACATTTACTTGAAATGTTGTGTGTCAAATGCTAACCATTTTAACATTTGCATGTCCTGCTGAATTCTGCTTTTCTTTTTGTAAATGTGTTTTGTATCAAGATTTTGAATCTTGACTGTAAATATGAGGTGCTGATGTTAAATTTCTCTCTTTTTTTTTAATTTTTCCTCACTGTAGGATTTGCTCTCCTTGGAGGACATCCTTCCTTCCTTACAACACAAGATATACATCTGGGCACTAATGAGAGTCTCACAGACACAGCAAGGTTGGTAAAATGTCACTTGATTGATCACTGCATTTGATAATTTATTGAGCTGACACCTGTCTTGCAGAATTTTGGAAGCTGATATTTTCTTTCTGGAAAATGTCAGAACGTAGTCCAAATTTCTTAAATATTTACAGATCAGCTCACACAATCTCTAGCTCAGTAAACCTTCATTCCATCCTCTCAAGCTATCCTACACTTCCCACACTGAGAATTATTTTGGCATATAGAGTGTTAATTAGGGTTACATTTACAAATGGAACAATTTTATGAACCCCAGTAGTCACGTAATTCCAACTGATGACAGCACATATATTCTAGCAAGACTCAAATCTTCTGGTTCTGCTGCCCTTGGAGCAAAATCAAATAGCAAAGATGTAATTCATGTTAGTTAGGCCAGCTGCTGATGGGCCTTAGCCTGCTGTAGTGGTGACAGGGCAGTAGACAGGCATTGAGGGCCTTTCTGATCCCCCTATTTCAGCAGCACAAAACTGGACCAACACTTTGTAGCCAGTTTCAGATTTCCTGCACCCTCCTTCCCAGCTGTACCCGCTGCCAGGACTGCTGTGGAGGCTGTGGCTCCCTTCTCTGACACCCCTGGAAGATCTCAGCCATGCCCAGCCCCACCTGCAGGGATGGCTAGCAGTCTGTCCCCACTGCTGTGGCAGGGAGGACCTGAGCTCAGAGCTTTTCTGCACTGGACTGCCTCTGATGTTTCAGAAAGCTGGCAGAACATGAGATCATGTTTTGCAGGTGCTCCTGCAGTTTTCCGCAGCACTCCAGCTATTAAAGCTTCATCTCTTAGCATTACCTTGCTTTCTAGGCAGCCCTTTTGCAGCCTGAGGTCGATGCAGTCAGGCCCAGCTGTTGGAAGGTTAGCAGTGTCTGAGTGGTCCTTTTTGTTCTGCTGAAAGATATGCAGTGTCAAGCTCATCAGGCTCAATTCAAAATGTGCAATCAGGCAGATGAGTTCCATTGCTTCTGCTGAATACCACAGCTCTGAGCCAGTGGGAGAGACTGAGAAGTGTGTTGCTATTCTCTGTGATGAAATAAAATGAATTTTTTTTAAAAAATCAAACATTTGAACATTTGAAATTTTCCTTCCTTGTTTTTTTACTGATGAAATGGAAGACATATGGGTGTTGATAGTAGAAAGCATAAATCTAAGTCCCTTGAGGTTTGAGAGTACTTAACTCTCACTCTCTGCTAGATATATGACTGTGCCAGAATCAAAGTGAACTGCAACTATAGAATCATAGAATGTTTTGGGCAGGAAGAGACTTTAAATATCATCTTGTTCCAACCCCCCCCCCAACCCCCGTCATGGACAGGGATACTTTTCACTATCCCAGGTTGTTCAGGGTCCCATCCAGCCTGGCCTTGAACACTGCCAGGGATGGGGCATCCACAGCTTCTCTGGGCAACCTGTGCCAGTGCCTCACCAACCTCACAGTCAAAAATTTCTTCCTAATATCCGATCCAAACCTACTCTCTGTCAGTTTGAAGCCATTCCCCCTTGTCCTGTCACTCCAGGCTCCTGTAAATTGTCCCTCTCCATCTTTTGTGTAGGCTCTGTTCAGTTATTGGAAAGCTGCAAATTAGGTCAGTCTGGAGCCTTCTTTTCCAGGCTGAATAATGCCAGTTCTCTCAGCCTTTCCTTGTAGGTGAGGTGATCCCTCCCTCTGATCACCTTGCAGCCCTCATCTGCACTACTGCAAAGCTGGCTGCAAACCCCAGCAGCCAAACCTTCAGGAAGGAGGAGGAGAAATCAGGGCCCTTCCAGAGCACTTCCCTGCAATAACCTCTACAAGCATTGTCCCACCAGCCATGTCACCTGGAGCCTCTCTGCCAGTCAGACACCAACCCTACAGCAGATCTGACACAGACACACTTAATATAGGCCAGTTTTCATTTCTTCTACTTCCCAAATGTGACAATAAAGGGACATTAAACCTTTTGTTTACAGCATTCTGAATGGCCTTCGTTTGCACAAGGCAATAAATAGAAGCAAGCAAATCTTGCAGCTTTTCTGAAGGCATCCCCATTCTGTGGGTAAAGTTCCTACAATAGCCACTTCCCAAGCAAACCTTCAGCCCCCTTTTCTCTGCCACTGCTTGCTCTTCCACAACAAGTCCCCTCTACCTGGGATTTTGCTCCTCTGCTGAGTCACAGCTCTCACCAGTTACAGTGGACAGGGGGTTTTCCCAAATCCTTACAGAGTCCCACATGCTCTGCTCCACTCCTGCTCTCATTAGCAGAAATAAGAATGCCTGTAGTAGACCCAGAGGGTATTTCAAATATTTACAGCCATGTGTCTGGGGCTCTGAAGGCCTTTGAAGTACTTGAGATTGAGACTTAAAGTGAAAGGGGCACAGATCCATAAAAGTCACAGTTTTTATTAGAACTGCTGCAGGTAAGGGTTGAAAGCATTGCTTTCTGTGAACATATTTTCAGTGACTTATTACTTGCTCATAAATCAGTTCCTCCATGCTTCACAAGACATTTACATTTATGCTGACACAGTGGCAAAAAGTTACCGCCCATTAAGGAGCTCTAAGCCTTTCAGTGCTGTTTAACATGCCTGATATATTACCTGAAATTAAATATAAGTGCTATGTCTGTATTTCCCACTGTAGAGCAGTTCCACTGGGCATCACTAAAGCTCAGTGGCCATCAGGTTCAGTGGCAGCCCTGAAGAACTCATAGGGTGATTTTACCAGTCCACTGGAATTATTAGAGCATCAATCTCTGCATTTATGGGGAATGGGTTTACTTTGCTGAGAACAAATCCACTGTCTGTTCCTGTGAGACTATGAGTGAAAGTGAAGTAGTTTTATCAAAAATTTAAAGCCTTTGAATGGATATAAGCTTTCAAAACAAAAGCAAAACTGCCTTCCATAGCAATATTCTATACAAAATATATGTAAATGCTCCATTTTCAGATTCAGAGGTCTGCCATACCAAAAAGGCATACTCTGTGTTTCATTTTGGATTCCTCAGAGGATACAGTTGAGGGAAAAAAAAAAAATCAGGTTTTCTCTGTAGAAATAAAAATTACTTCCAAAAGAAAAATATGCAGTGTTCCAATGTACTCAGTGTTCCAATATAACATATTTCCAGGCTCTGGGATTTTGAGGTTTATAGTCTCACGGTTTTGCAAAAGAATGAAAAGAGAGAAAGACCTAGTGGCTGACAAAATAAGAACCCTAAATGTAAATGTAAATGTAAACCTGATGAACTTGTACTTACAGCCCCTCAGCTTTCCAAACTTCACCTTTGGTAAGACTCATCTATTCAGGACCATTTTTTCCCCATGCAATTCCAGCCTTACATGGTTTCCTTTAAACTGATTCAATTACTGGAGACTTAATCACTGCCCTATAATCAGAGACCTCCAGGTGAGGGTTATTTGTTTAGCTTTATTTTGATTTCACAAAGAATAAAGCCTGTTTACAGCTGATTTTCCTGCTTTAAAATATGACATCTAGAAATGCTGGCAGAAGGATTGTCTGATGTCCTGCTGGTAGGTGTCTAATAAGTCTGATATCTATTTTCAACAGACTGAAGATGAAAGTCCAGCAGTTTTCACTAGCTGGTGAATATGACTGAATTTTCCATAGTGGCATACCCTGTGAAAGAACCATTTTCTTTAATTTCTTGATCAGCTTGTGTCAAATAGAAATCAGATGTCCTGACATCCTAAATGAAATAAAAGTTCTAAGGAAAATGAACGATTTCCCAGCGTGATTGCCCCTTTCCCCTGACTTATGGGGACTGGCTGTGTCTAGTTTAGGGTGCCTACCAGTGAGATGGCTGACAAAAGGAACCATGCACACAGGACAGAACAGGTTTCCCCCAGAGAAAGAAACTGGTGAGCTAAGAAATAATGGCACCAACAGCAACTGTTCCAGTTCTTTGTAATCACTAAATACCTTGTTCAGTTCCTCCTTTTCATCTATAGCTGCTATTGACAGCCTTTTCTTCAGAGAGACCTCTACAGGCAATCTTGTAACATTTTATAAGGGCTTTGCTTGTGTGAGGAATGTCTGGAGTCAGTAGAAAATACTTGTTACTGACTTCATCAGAGACCTTGCTGATGATGGTATTAACAGCCTTATTTCCACAAGAGGAGATGCAAGAATTTGTCATGGCTAATCAGGAAGGCAGATACAGCAAAGATTTTTTTCCACATATTTCTAATTCAGTCCTCCCTTGTTTTGTTTTAAGGTCCTATTTTAGATAACATGAAAACACACAAAATGCTACTTCAAAGTCAGGCTTCAGGGCCTGATTAAAATACAGAAATGCAGAGAAATTAAGAGCTCCAATCCATACTTAATTTATCTAAAAAATTCAGAGTATACTATGCTAATCCACTATGCTAATCTCTGTGTCTTTCACACTTCAGCAAATGAGGTTAATGCCCGAGTGGTACAGGGGCTCCTGCAACCCCTTCCCTTGTGCTGAGTTTGAAATTTGGGCATTACTTGAATGCTGATACCGTGTGAGTCCATACACAGGTGTAGATAGGAGAAGACAGGCCAACAACCCCAGCCTGTTCTGTTTCTGAGTTTATTAAGATCTGTAAATAATTGTGGTAATCTAAGACAGGTCTGTATTGCTGACCCTCACAAAGTCAGGCTACCAGAGTCTATAATATTCAGTCAGTGCTACATTTGTTCTTTGCTAAAAGACTGAAAAAAATCATATACCTTATCTCTTCTGAGGCTATCAAATTCTTCAAATGTTACAGTATCACACAATCTCTTATCTTAGTTCAGAGAGCTTAACATGTATTGATGTTCCATCTACAATGAAATGCTAAGGAGAAAAGGATATAAAACTGAGCAGCAGTTTTCAATTACTTACTATAGTAGTGTTAGGAAGTGAAACTTCTTACTTATTAGCAGCTTGTTAAATGACTACATTTGAGTCTGTTCTGCAGGCATGATAAATTATTCAGATAGCTGAAAAATATTGATTCATTACCATTTCTCATTAATATTTATGTATTACACAATGAAGAGTGCAATAGGCATATATTTATTATGTTTGACTTGAGTATTTTCTGCCATCTCTAGGGTGCTGTCCAGCATGACAAATGCAATCTTGGCTCGAGTTTATAACCATAATGATCTGGACCTAATGGCAAAAGAAGCCACCATCCCAATAATCAATGGATTATCCGATTTATACCATCCTCTTCAGATTTTAGCTGATTACCTAACTCTTCAGGTAAAAATAAAAAACAATTTTTTTTAATTTTTTTTTGCTAATTCTTAGGAAGTATTTGGGGAAGTCAGCTTCAAAGCCATTTATCCCCAGGTTTTTCAAAGTAGTAATTACATGGCACTTGTTGCTTAAAGAGATCTTCGTCCAGCAATATAATTAAGGACCTGTTTAATTTAAAACAATAACGTAGTCCTATCAGCTGTAGTGGGACTGAAGTTAAGCATAAAATTAAGTTCTTCATTGGAATTAGTCTGCAATTCAAAGAATGTTCAGAGGGCTGTACATATTAAGACAAAGATGAGAATCTGGCTCAGGCAAAGCCAGCAGAAGTTTTTCCACCAACTTAAAAACACTCAGTAGTTTGCTCTCAATTCCTCCCTAAGCTATGGACAGCTTAAAAGGAATCACTATTTATATATTAGGAAATTGGTTGAACAAATTTATTTTGAAGAGCCAGCTAATGTTACCAGTACAAAAGCTTAGTGTTCAGGCACTTTAACCACTTTAAACTTTGCTCACATCACAGAACGGTTAAAAGTGATCATATTTTTTATTTTTATCTAATGTAATAGTGGATCTGACAGCAGGATAATATTTTACACACAGAATACCAGATGTTTATCTGTGAACAGAAGGACTATGTGGTTTTACAATTGGTTGAGAATCTGGCTTATAAAAAAGATTATTATAATGCAGGGCTGCTTGACAACTATGATGAACTCCTCTGACCTTGTTTACTTTCTGAATGAATAAAAACCACACTGCTTGAAAACGGTAGGGCAGAATAATTTCCTGATTCAATCAGATATGTTTCTTGGCTGTTGGGGACTTTGCTATGGGACATTCAGTGTGTGGGAGAGATCTAGTGAGAGTAATATTAAATTATTCATGCTTTAAACCTTAAATACTGAAAGAATCATGTGTTTGGTGAAAATCACTTACTTTAAGTATTTTTTGTAAATTTTTTATATTCACAGTGAAGAGACCAGCAAAAATTGATGAACTTGAGACTGAAATGCTTACAGACCTCAGGATAAGGGAGATTTGTGAGATCACATTGAGCCAGGCTCAGTGTTCAAATTGCATAAAACAGTAAGCTGTAATGAGAATGTCATCATTTCATTGTAAGCACTCTGTGCAAATATAAGTCAGGAGAATCTTCTGGTTGTGTTTGTGGGGTGTTCTGTCTTGCAAACACCTTATTAATTAGCATTTTATCACTTGTGAGTAACACTCTTCAGGAACAATCTGTGATGCACATCCCACACAACCATGGATATTTCTGCCCCTAAATGTGGTTTTGTCTTGGCCACTGGCTCCAGCAGCCAGGCTCACAGTTGTCCTCTACTCCACCTCCAGTTAATGAAGAGACCAATGAGTCACCTCAGTCACCTCTGAGTCTCTCAGTCACCTTCTGGAGATGCATCTCTTTCTCCTCTGATCTTAGGGCAAAGCCTATGGAAAACAGCAGGATGAGAACATGCCCCTTTGATCACCTTCTGCTCCTCCTCCACTGCATCCCTGTATAGGTAGAAGCTCTGGGTGAATATGAGCCCACAGGCTGCACTTTTCCCTGGTTTGAATGCCAAGGACAGCACCAACAGCTGTGGATGTCCTTGCTGCACCAAGCACCAGGGAGGATGACTTTGGTGATGAAGAAACAGGTCCATAGCAGCTGGTGCTCAAACAAAAGATGTATTTGATGTGGAAAGGTGTCATGACAAAGTGAGCACTTACAGAGATCACAAGGAATGGCTCAGCTTTTAGACAGACTTGAAAGTTTCTTTAAATTTGCAGCACTTTCACACTCAGCCCAATAAGCAGAGCACCATTTCCTCCATCTGCCCACCTCTCCCTGACTCTTTACAGCATGTTCCTTAGCCCAAAATTCATCAGGAGATCTTTATAGGGCAGCTGGGTGGCCACCCTGCTATGCCAAGGGCATGTTGCACTGCTGGTTGCTGACTCACTTTCCATTCCTGCTCTCTTATCCAGGAGAGAGGGGCAGGCAGGGGAGAGCTCTCAGCAGCTCCCTGTGGGTGATGGCACTGCCTGAACTCTCCCTTTCTGACCTCTTCCTCTGCTCCCTTTTTTTTCTCTTTACACTGTACAGTGAGTTGGAGAAGACTGGAGTGGCATGCAATGAAACAATGTTTTAATCATATAATGAACTTTGCCAGGCCACAGAAGTGAGATTAACTCTTGAAGAGGTGTGAACCACAGGGCCTAGTTGCTACTTACCCTATTCAAGCTTCTGGGATTTTCAGCAAGATGTCATGAAATTTATGCCTGCTTGAAGATTAATACAGGGATGTGGAATGGTACCACTGATTCTTTAAATGAATTGAAAGTCCATATATAACATTTAGACTCTTTCTGTGCAATGCAAAGGCAATTTATTTGATTTATACGTATATGCAAACTACAATAGCGGCACAGACTGCTAGCCTAATATTTAAATGTAACTACAGATTTTGTGCATCTTATTTATCTTTAAAAAATGCCTCTTCCCTATACCCATAAATATTTTCCTGCATGGATCTGTTCCTCCCTGCTGTCAGTACATACCCAAAATGTACCTTTTTTATTTTATTTTTTTTTCCTTCTCTGTTTTCCAGTGGAGCTATACATGCACTCTGACCCTCTTCATGCTTAGCACATTTTTCTTCTTCCATTTTATATATCCTATTAATTTTGTTGTGTGCCTTCTTGAACCCTCCTGGAGTACTTTCTCTTTAGTCTGAAACTATATAATTGCACAGTTTGTTTTGAAAAAATGTTTTCTTGCTTATAGTTTCTGATTCCTTGTTCACAGGTGCATTTTAGTATCATTATTTTAGTATAGTCCATTGCATCCCCCCAAACAATGCAGCTGGTTTATTTTCAGGGCTGTCAATTCTCATTCTGTATTCAGGGCAAATTCTCATCCTGGAGTTCAGGAAACGCAGTGTGCTTCTATTATGAATATTGGGGTGAGTTTCCTCAGGTTCAGAATCCTCCTGCCCAGTGCCTTCTTCCTGAGCAACCTGGATCCCCTCACATCTTTGAAGTCTAAGCTGGCTCTGTCCTTTAATATTGTGCTCAGGGTTAATGCCCTCTATTATGCCAAGATAAACTTTTTTCTTAGCATATATATACACTACCTTCTGTCTTAAAGGTTGTGTTGAATGGAGTGTGTTTGAGTTATAACCCACTCAAAATAGTTGCAAACATGTAAAGAACCCGACTTTGAGGGTTAGGGGATTTTGAAGACTGAGAGTTTGTGAGCACACACTGAGCCCCTTTACTCCCCTGCTTGTGCTCAGCCACATGCTGAGTCCAGCCGGTGCCTCTGGGTGTCCTGGGCAGGAGCTGTGGCTCAGCTTCTGCTTGGCTCAGCGTGGCTGGAGGGCAGCATCACACAATTGGTATTCCAGAGACAGCCCGGGTATTGACATTGATTCAATTGATATTAATGTCACTGGCCAAATCAGCTTACTTGTCGCTGACTGCAGGATGGCCACACTGGTAATTAGAGTGGATCCATATGCCACTGGCTTTTTATGTCACTGCTCTGGGGGGAATCTTCTGTTTCAGAAAGCAACGGTTGGCATAAGAAATACATGGGTGATTTCTTTTCAAACAGCATAACAAATAATGTTGCCCAGCTTGAAAAGGGCTACAGTATATTCTCAACTTCTCCTTGCTGTGTGACCCCAAGACCTGAAATTATCACAATTTTCATATTCATCACCATCATCATCTTTATTATTCTAACAATTAGAAATCCCAACTAAGATCTGTCCTGATCCTCTAAAATATACTGTATCAATTACCATGACAAAAAAGCAGTGTGGGAGTAAGAAAAATAACTGGCCCAGCATCTGCCTTAAGCCCAGTTTGAAAGCCAGAAGATCCAAGTTTGCCCAGTTTCTCATTTACTGGACTGCAATGTCTCCCAAAGGGCTAAAGCTTTGATTAGTCCCTGGCATTCCATTTTAAAATTTGACAGGTTATTGATTCATTATTCAAAAGCTTGTTTTAATTGAGGGCTGTTATGACAGTTGTGGTCAAACATTTCAGAATTAATCTATAATGGTGTCAGAGTTTCAGTCTCGCTGGAAGCAAGTCCAGGCAGAGGCAGACACAAACGTCCCTAATTAGTTAACCCAGTCTTCTCCACACATACAGCAGGGTCAAATCACTGAGCATACTTACTTTTTCCCAGGGTCACTGATACAGCCATGGATAAGAACAGAATGAAACATTGTAAAAACAACAGGAGGGTGAAAAAATTGAGTGTAAAATTGGTATTACTTATTTAGCTGGGATTTTTCATGAGAATAACAGGCAAGTTTTATGGCACTACAGCAGCAATTCCTAGTTTGCCAAAAGGCTTCATAAGGGAGAAGATTGCTAGACTTTCCAAATATGTTATTTTTTTTGTGTGTGGCTTTACTAGGAGTCATATTCTAAATGTAGTGTGAAACTGCAGAACACCCATGCAGGAGTAAAGCCTACATCAATATAACATAACTTGTAAAAATTGGGGAGGGATGCAAAGGGAAAATATCTTCAGAGGTTCTTGTGATCAGCAGGTATTGTAAAGGCTCTCAATTAATTTAGAGTGTTACTATCATGCAAAACTCTTTTATCAGGATTTCACCTGAGTGCATGAGCACATACAAAAGAGGGAGTAGGAAGGAGGGGAAGTGTGTCTCATTTACTGTAGCTTTTTTATTACCTGCAAATTTTCTGGTTTTCACCAACAGAGTCACCTCATCTTTGCTGGAAGCTGAGGGTGTGTGTTTGCTTATAAGCAGTACAGTCACAGTCACAGTGATCTGGCTTTAGATGAAGAGGTTTGAATTACAGCAGCAGCGCACCAGTGGCAGCACAAAGCCTAGCTCAGGGTACAAAACAGGCTCCACTAGCACACACACAGCTTGATTCTGCCTTGCTATGACTCCTTCCATTAGCAAAACATCTCCATTAAAATCAGTTCAGCTGTGTCCACTCTGCTCAGTAGTCACTGCAGATGTGGTTTGCAATTTGCAGTGCGTATCAGGAATCATTATACAGACACATCTAGTTCTCCATATTTTATCTGTAACAGCTGGTAGCTTGGGAAAACAGGGGACAGCACTTAGTATGCACTGTGCTGCTTTTAACACAGAGTAGCAGCTGGCAATAAGGTGAAGTTGTTTAACATAGCAGTGTATTTGTGACTCTAGTCAATGCTTTGAGTATTAAGGCTGAGATGTCTATTTTTAAACAGTGAGATAAAAAAAACCTCAGGACTGTCTCACTTGTTTCTGGCTGTGGGTTCTGATCTCAGCTATCAGTAATCCCTAAGGGGAAACAACACCTTAAATAAATGCTTTGGTTTGGCCTTCTTCTAGGAGCACCATTGCTAGGAGATGTGGAAGGACTTTGAAAGATTCTTGGAGCCCTGAAGAGTGGTTATATTGAAGTAACTTCCATGTCCACAAAGTTCTGATTTGTTCTCCTGTAAATGCCCTTGCATCCAACCTCTGCCAATGAGCCTTCTGTTAACAAATTTTGGCTGAAAAAGTGATATTTTTGCAATACCTAGTTTTAGCCCTTAAACCTGAATAGCCTAGGACTCTATCAGATTTAGTTGCTTACAGCACTTTAATGTCATTCAATATTTCAAGTACTACTATTTTTGACTCAAAATTGTGGTCACTGGAAGAAATGCTAATAACTTTGCTCTGGAACAGCTTTACAAACTATTTGTTTAGGAGAAGCTGCTGCCAGGACAGGAGGGGGTAGTCCCAGCCCTTTTCCAATTCAGTCTTTTGGCATCTTTTCTGTAACTGCCTGCAAGGTTGCCACTTAGTACAATGTGGATGCTTATCCTCTCTGACAGGCATTGAATCATGTCACATGAAGTGTTGAAATACTGTCTGGCTTCCAGCTACTACAATGCAATTGTAGCATGGCCCGGATTTGAACTAAGAATAAAAGGCTCTCCAGAAATTGTTTCAAGAGGTAGAGTTTTACAGAGCAGGGTTATAGGTGAATATGGTTACATCTTTGTAAAAGTTTTGGTATCAGCTTAAGTGCCTATAAACATGCATATTTAAAACAAGGTTCATTAAGGAGCCTCAAATTGTCCTGCTCTGGAAATGTGTAACTCCTGTTACTCTTGTTCCTCCTCAGGCCTTATCTGCTGGGGTGAAAGGACAGAATAACTGCACATGGCCAGGCTGTGGGTGCTATCAGGCAAAGCCACAGTTACCTCTGTAATGCTGTTTCAAGTTGGGGTAATCCACATTTTTTAAAGAATCCCTGCACTCTTTGGCTGAACAATGGAGAACAAATGCTGCAGGCCATGAGTGGCACAGCTGCTCTCACACTGCTGCTCTTTGCTGTCCTGTGCAGCTGTGGGGTGAAGATGCATTCCCAGGACATGGCCACTGCCATGGCCACATGGAACAGCGTGTAGAGGCAACCAGGCCAGAGCAAATCTCCACAGGGATATTTTCACAATTTGGGGGAAAGCTGGAAGGAGTTCTATTCCAGGTGCCAGGACTGTCTATAAAGTAATAATTTCTAACATTCACTGATATTTATGAAGCCCAAAGAACAGCTGTACATCAGTGATGCTAAAATCACTTTGTGTCTGGTGCTGAATGTTTCAGCCTGATCCTCACCACGTGCCACGTGGGCCAATGTATCCATCTCCAGGGGAAGGAGCAGCACTTGTGGCCTTCTTGTATGATTTGGAGGGCTTTCCCTCCGTGACCATCCTGTCAGAGCAGTAGTTCCAGGTGTGCTCCATGCAGGTAGCATTTGAAAGCAGCCAGACCCTTCTGATCATTCCCTCTTGTCCATCAGCTCCTCTGGAATGTAATCCCAGAGCTTGTGATTGCTTTGGCAGGAGCACTACGGAGGGCTGAAGGGGCTCACCATCGCCTGGATCGGGGACGGCAACAACGTCCTGCACTCCTTCATGGCGAGCGCCGCAAAGCTGGGAGCGCACCTGCGGATTGCCACTCCCAGGGTGAGGAGAAACAAACCCGGGGAGAAAGGAAGGCAAACTTCACCCAGGCTTGTCTCAAACACTCGGGCACTGGTCAAGGGCCCCAGCTGGGGGTGCCCACATCTATCTGGAGTGCCTCTTTTCACAGCCAAGGTACAAAATCCTGATCCAGTTATTTGGATGCAAAGCAGGAGTGATTCTACCGAGTCCAACATTACAAATGGGAATACATGACAGGAGTATAAATCAGTTCCATTTTAGAAAGCCTTACCAAGCCATCCAATGCACTCTCCCAATCCAAAAAAAATTAAGCCTGTTTCAGATGGGTGGAAGTGTTGCATCTCATTTTGTTGAAATTAGTGGTGGAGCATTTTAGAATGTTGCATTGTAATACAATAAAAAATATTTTTAAAAATCAGTTTAGAACAAAAAAAAATGTTATATATGCATTTAATTCTGTAACTGTCAAAGTACATTTTTCTTATATTTTTAGAACATTTTCTGCTACTTTATCTCCAAAATAAACTTCCAACAAAAGTAACACAGTTTTCTCAAGTTTTACAGTTCTGAAAGATAGTCTTCTTCCATGGCTAATGGTTCAATACATATTTTTCTAACCATTCTTATTAATTAGTGAAGATCTTATACATGTTCCATGATATCTTACCTATCATCTCTTTTGTCAGGGCTTTGAACCAGACCCCAGGATAACTAAAATAACCGAACAGAACTCCAAAGAGGTAGGACCCTAAGAAACAGCCTAGTAGAATAGTTTGAGTAGAGTTTATTTTCATTATAAATGAAGTTCCTTGTCTTAGTGATCTTCCTTATTTTATTCATTTTAGTGTGGTACCAAGCTACTTCTCACAACAGACCCTTTGGAAGCTGCAGACAGTGCCAATGTCTTAGTTACAGACACATGGATAAGCATGGGACAAGAAGAGGAGAAGAAAGAAAGGCTAAAGGCCTTTCAAGGTTATCAGATTACAATGCAGGTAAAAACTGAGATTTTGGGTTTTATTTGCATTTTTACAGTTTGCATTTATAAGAATCAACATCAACACAGCATGATTTTGTGGGTTTTTTGAGTGGGGCCATGGAAAAGCCACATGCAAACCTCCCTCCAGATTAAAACACTTACAGAGATAACAAAGTCTGAGTTATGTCATATGTTCCACATGACTTGGCCTCTTTCAGAGCTTCCCAATGAGATCCAGCTCCAGAGCATGTACAGCAGAGAGGTCTTCACTTCCCTTCTAAAGTCAGAGAAATTGGAGTGACTTTCTGACTTTTGTGAAGTCACATTGAACTCTTACAGACTTGCATGGAGATATTCCCATCTTATTAACAGATGAGGAATTCTTTTAAAGTCCTTTAAATTCTTTTAAAGTGGAATTCTGAGTTCGTCATCCAAATAACAAGAGTGGGAGTTAATATAAAATTTGTTAACCTTTTACATTAAGAAGTTAACTAATGTCCTCACATATGTCTCTATTTTATATGCTTTTTAATCTACAGACTGCAAAATCTGCTGCTTCCAACTGGACTTTTTTACATTGTTTACCCAGAAAACCTGAAGAAGTTGATGATGAAGTATTTTATTCTCCACGGTCATTGGTTTTCCAGGAGGCTGAAAACAGAAAATGGACAATTATGGTAAGAAAAAAAAAAAACAAAGAAGATAACAGTATTTGGAGGTTAGGGTCAATTCTGTTCTGCCTTACATAACAGGCTTGAATTCAACCTGGTTCCACAATAAATAGTGAATGTTAAAACACATATTTCAAATTTACCCCAGAGCACATCACAATTTTGACACAGACAACATTTAGCACAAATACTTTTGGGCACAAATGGGATCTATTTTGGTGATAATCTGCTGTGGCTTGACCCAGGTTTTATCACTAAGTGAAATCTGCAATATAAACTGTCTTTTTTTTTTTTTTTTTTGGTAATTAAATTACTGTATTTACTCTAATGATTAATTCAACTTCTCAATTAAAACCTGTTAAATGCTGGGGTCCCAGGATCTGTTCTTAGAAACTACAGTTTACCAAACACTTAAAACCAGTTATTTTTTCTCAGGAAAAGCTGCTGCTGACACCAATGGGAACTTTCCCTGAGAAAATGCTGGAAGAGCAAAGATTTGAAAGATCCTGAAAAGTTATGGTGTGGGTAACACTGTGTGATCCATGGGAACCATGAGAGGACACTTGGCATTTAACATAAACCATAACTCCCCTCTCAGCATTCCTAGAATTTCAGAAAATCACTGCCAGATCTCAGTAGCCTATTATTTATTTTTGGCTTTAGTTCCACCAAGTTGACAAAAGCTAGTGAAAACTTTCAGGGGTGAAAAGAAAAACAGAGAGACATTGTGATAGCTCTGAGATGAAGTCTAGATGTGCTCCAAATGAAGAAATAAGGGGGTGAATGCTATGTTTGCTAAAACCGCAATGTTTCTAATTATTATTTTTTTTAAAAAAAGAAGCTCTTTTCTTTGGGTTCCAGATGCACATTTTTGGGGGGGGCTGGCGAGGAAAGGAAAATGTCATCTTTGTATTTTATCAACCTACAAAAATAATGGATGTATGGGTCTTGTTTATATAGTATTTTCTACCACTTTCAGCACAGAGAGAAAACTGAAGAGCAGATTATTTGTTCAGCTGTAGATCCAAGCAGGGCTGAGTGCAGCCAGGAATGGGCAGCACCGAGGGGCTGCAGAGCTGTGATTCTGTCACCTCTGTGTGCCTGGGGTGACCTGTCACATTGGGCAGTGATGAGGGGAAAGGAAGGACAGGCAGCAAGATCACAGCCCCTGGAGAGCCCTCACAAATCCAGTGCTGGGCCAGAATAACAATGTGCAGTCAGACCCTGCTGCTGTGAAATTACAGCACTGTGAACCAGGTAAAGCCTTGTCAAAGCCAGGCAAGCGTGGGGTTTGTTGTGGGCACAGGCGTGGGAGGGACAGCAGAGCTGCTGCTGCACCACATTTTATTTAGCTGACAGTCCCATTTCTCCCATTTCACAGCTGTGCCTAAAGCAGGGCAGGAGGGGTGGATGGCACACTTTTAACCTCAGTGAGGATTTTCCATGTGTCACTATAGAGGGTATAGCTAAACTGGGATAAATTTCAGAGCCCATGTTCTAGCGTGGCTCTCACTGATGCTAATGGAAACTGCTGAAATCCACAAGCCAGCCCATGTGATGTCTGGGTACCTACACAATCTCCTAGAAGTAGCTGAGAATACATCATAACATGCCAAAAGGGCCTCAGCATTTGATCTAAATGCTTGTGTGAATTGCTCCTAAGATGTCCATTAATATATTTTGTCCACACTGAGAAAATCTATCAGCTACAATACAGAACATCCTAACTGATTTTCAGCTCTTGCCTGATTCATCATCAGAAATTCTAGCAAATAAATCTAAGTGTGCCGTTTTTGTCAGGATAATAACTTTCAACACAAGGCTTCAGAGATGGAAAATATTTCCCCTTTATTTATTTTTATGGAGTATCTGTTTCCAATGTGATTGGATTTTTTTCTTCTCTTCCTCCTCTAGGCTGTCATGGTTTCCCTGCTGACAGATTACTCACCACAGCTACAAAAACCCACATTTTGATGCTTGGATTCCTGCCAGGAGAAAAATATTCCTCATCAGCAGAATATTCTGGTCTGCAAACACATAGATCTTCTTCAGAAAGGACCAAGGCAATGAGTGATTTTTTTAATAAAACCATGTAGTTATCTGTATAATATTGCACTACACTCGTGAAAATGTTCAAGACTATAAACACCATTGCAGAAGCTGCTTTTCACCTGGATGCTCCAAGCTGGCCCTTCTTTTTAGGGATCAGCATCATGGAAAACATTCCAAGGTTGTACCTTAATGGCTGGGTCTGCCAGCAGCATAGGCACGATACAGTCTACATGTAGGTGTGGTGGGGCTTGCATTGTGTGATATTGATGCCTACATTAATATATATATTCACATATTTGTAGCTTTGTAGATTTTTAGGATATAGTTGTATAGCTTCTAGTGCTTTTCCTGCCCTCTTTCACATTTTAGGACAATAAGCTAACCCTTTCTAACGCACTCTTGAAATTAGGTTTAGTCTTATTCTCAAGAAAGGAATTTCTAACAAGGACACCTTGTTTTTCAACAGAATTTGAGAGACATAACAACATATAGGACAAACAAACCCCTCCAGAGGGGCAGACCCAGGGATGGGTTACTGGGGCAACTGGTCTCCAATTGGATGTACCTGCTAGATGTACTAATAAATTATCTTTATAAAAATTGTAGAAATCCTGTATCAGGCATGCGCTGAGCCATATTTGCACACCTGAAAGTTTTCATTAAATAATTGCTTTTTATCTTACCACTCTTAATATTGTTTGGAAAGTTTTGTCTTTTGATTCCAGGCAGCAATATGACAGACATAAACCCGTCCCTTAAATTGCTGATCTCGGGAAGTGTGTGTGGAGAAGCAGGGCTGCAGTTTGCCTTGGCTGCCTGCTCTTCCCTGGGCACCCTGGCTCCTGTTTCTGTTCTCCAGCCACCCTCCAAATCCCACTCCAGTTTGACACCAAAAATATAGAGACCTTGTGATCATTATCCTCCTCCATGACATTCCTGTGGGCTGGCACAGGGGGATATTGCTGTGGGATTGGAATAAAGCTGTTTCCACGGAGTTGGGTGCAGCAAAGAGAGACAGCCAGAAGGAACTGGTTTGTTCTGTGCCTATCTCCACTAGACCTTCATTCCCCAAACAGAATTTTGGCCATAGAAGTGCATATTCTATTTTTTTTCCCTAAGCAAATATGAGGGGCACCACATGATGAAACTTATACAGCTTCCTTGCAGAAATTGCTGCATTTTGCCTTGCACTGTAACACAGCATACATTTCAGCTAATCCTTCTCAGTAGTAAACAAATTCATGACATTTTTAACTTTTGTGATATCTGGGTATATGCATTTAATATTTTGGATAAAGCTTTGAGTTAACTATTAACAAATACCTTCTTTGTTGTTTCTAAATAGTTTCTTTTTTTTTTTTTTCTCACTGTAACACTAGGACAATGTCTGCAATATTTTAAAAAATTCTGCCAATGGTTTTGCATTTTCTGACCAGCTGCAAAGCATTATTCAGTTCCTTTCTAAATTGGAGTTCACTGCAGGGCCACATATTGCTGAAATGAAAATAAAGTTACATTTTTTTCTATCTATCTAGAAATCAATGTTTTACTTCCCAGTTCAGCATGTGGAGGAAAATGCATGGAATACAGTATATTTCTTATTGCAGTAAGTCCTGTTTTTTGAATTAGGTTCTAGTTCAGCAAGATATGTAGAGGTATGATTGGTCCTCTTGGACCTGGTGAGCTGTTCATGTGCTCAGAATTGAAGATGTCCTTATTGACCTAATTTTAGTACTGTCTGAGAATAAGACAGCTCACTTTGCTAGTCCTTTCATAAAAACTACATTAATATCAGTTTTATGGTGTTGCTCAATGTACTGTCAGTGAAGTCATGCACATTTATAATACCAAAGCTGTGTTGTTAAATGTTTCGTGGTGAGCAGTTTAACAATCCTGATTGTTAAATTCTGATTCTCAGTGCTCTGATTAGAGCTAATGTGCATCCTGGTTATTGCTGACACTTTTTGTACCCAGGAGTCTGAGCAGGATGCCAGACAGCTGAATCCCCTTGATATTTTTATAACACATGCATAGAGCTGCTGGCATAGCTTGTGAATAAGAGGGTCCAACATTCCCAGGAGGGTAATTTCACCTCATTCTATTCCTCTGTGGACATACAGCAAAGGATGACAGTCCCTGCTCTGTCTTGGACAAACTGCTCACACCATGAGCTGTTCTGGTGCTTTATAGAAACACTGGGTGGACTTTACATATCCTGAGCACTGGATTCCAGTCGGTGGAATCACCAAACCTACACCCTCCTGCATATGCAGTACCCAGCCTGTGTGCTGGGAGCCAAAAACATCCCAGCAGGCAGATTTATGGAACATGTGTAGACTGTCTGCACAGTGCTCGCCAAGCAGATCTGGCACTTCCTAGAGGCATTGGATTGGTACCAAATAGACTTTCTGCCCCACAGACTCTGACATGTGATGCCCTGAAGGGTTTCTGTTGTGCCTGTAGGGACTTTCATTGCCTTGACATACAGCAGAACAGCACTGCAAGGATTAATCCCCTTGGGCAGGTTAAGCATCTCGGGATTGCTGGCTGGTAGCTGTGGTAGTGTGCAAAACAGCATTATGATGCCACCCCAGCTCCTCATTAATTCATTACTTGAATTTACTAGTGATGACTGCAAATGTGGTAAATAAAGGAAGCAGCAATAATGTAGGGAGATTTTCTACGGGGGAAACAAGTTTATCAGCATTCAAAGGGCTTAAACCAAATGCATAGCAGGTAGCAGTCACTAACAGCTTACAGTGTTTTTCATTACATTTATTATGCTTTAATCAGTAGCAGTGCTGTTTTTGTTGCTGAGGGTACTTGAAGGAGAGGGTGTTGTTTTCTGTGTTTTTACAGAGATGTTCCTGCCTGGCTCCTGATAGCCTACACTTTCCTTCCACAGAAGTCCTGCTCTTCTGTTTGACCCAGAGAACAGCCCTGGGTCAGTTCAGGTCTATCAAGTCTTACCCACATCTGACTCATTCAATAATCCCTGGTCCAATATCTCACCCCACACCTCTGCATGGCTGTGCTCTGGCTCCTTTCCAGGACCCTGCTCTTGTGGGGGCAGCTGCCAGCCTAATCCATGAATCCATGTCCTGCTCAGAGGCACAAGGGGTGGACTGACCCCAGCATCGTGTTCCTCTTCCTTGCAGGGCTGGCTGTGTGCTCCTGCCTGTGCAGGCACACCCAGACCTCACACACAGGCAGGAGGTTATGCTGTGTCCCAAGAGGGAATATTCATGCTAACTTTGGTGCCCAAAGTCCAGACACAGATCCAAAGTTAGTACTAAATCTGGCTCTGATCCTAGCTGAGGCCATGGGGGACCACTGGGGCCCAGAGGTACTTAAATGCCATTTTAGGCAGCTGGGAGTCTTGGAGACGTCTGCACAGGTCCAACAGATATGACACAGGACTGATGGGGCACTGAGGGCAGAAACTGGTGCAAGGACATCCTACAGCACCTCAAATGGCCCCAAATCCAGTGCTTTGGCAACCACTCTCTCACTATATTCATGGCTTGCAGCAGATTACTCCTATTCTATGCCTAGAAAGAAAAGTGCAGGATTGCTTGTTAGCATCTCCCAGACTCCGTAAATACTTGTTCTGCAGTGCACTAACAGCAGTAGGGGGATTCTCTGATTATCTGTGCCTGATCTTCCAAAAGTGATCTAACATTAACTAGAAATGTAGTAGACAAAGAGTGACACAAAGCTTCTTTGTAATTTTCTCAAGGATGAGCAGCATTTTTTCCTGTTCACTACAAGGAATACAGCACAGTAACCACAGCAGGTAAGAGGCCTGCGGAAAGAATTTGCAAATCATTAGTGTAACTTAGGAAGGACTGAGTGGGGAGCCTGGACAACCAGGAGAGAACAGAGTAAAAATTCTCAAACAGAATTAAATATTTTATTTGAGCCAGCTTACATCAGGAATGACACCACACACAGCAGATTTACTCATTGTCTGCTAGCGGAAGCAGTCACCTGTGAAAGTCTGAGCTGCTAAAAGGGAAATACAGGAATAACCAGAAAAAGAGGAAGCACCAAGGTTTGGCTGCCTGAAGTCCCCTAGAACTCCTGAATTAGTGTTTGCCTCTCTTAAGATGGGGCTGTAAGTAATCCAGAATTATCTTCTCTTGTGAGAGAAGGAACAAGAGCTGCATCAAGGTCTGAGCAAGGCACTGAACTGATCATTCAGTCTGGGGAAACATTTCATGGCTGAGCTGAGATATATTGAGCTTAGTTTTGTATTCCAGGAATGTGTAATACTGGTGAAAAGTCTGAAAAACAGATTTCACAAAAAAAGGAAAGGTTTATTCTTTCTTCTTTGTCTCCCATTTCTTGGCTAATCACTTGGTTAATGTATTGAGAAAATAAACAGTCCTTTTTTGATTATTTTGCCATGGCTATTTAACCAGCTGCCTTTCAGATGCAGAGCCCAGAATTTCTGGGTCTTGCCCAAGGTTATGTGTACAGAGATACTTCATAAGCCACAATCAACATTTAATTCAGCCCAGCATTTGCTCTCATGACTAATGAGATACAGCTATTTGCAAGGTTATTTGATTCTTACACAATCTTGTTACCAGCTTTTTGAAGAAATCCCAAACCTTTGTGGCCTCTATAAAGGCTGATGATCCCTTCCATGTGTATGTGTGTAGAGGATTTTTCTCTAGGGGCAGGAAATCTGAGGTGCCTCCATTCAGACAACAGATCTTTCACAGCCACAGTCAAAGCATTGCTTGCCCTTGCCAAATCCTTTGGAAAGTTCCTTGTGGTCTGCATTATATGCTAGAGGATTAATGAATGCTGTTGCTCTTTAATGGGCCTATTTTCAGGGGATTGGCACTCATGCAAAGTGGGTTCCAACACAAGCACAATATATCTAGAAAGAGGGACGAGCACCAAGATCTGCAGTCTTCGCTGATCAAAGTTTACTTAGTTGAGCCAAAACTTAATTCCAGCTGTAAGGAACAGCAGTGATAGCTGAAGAAGAGTACTGAAGAGTTGGCAGGGCAAATGCAGGTCATGCTTAGTGATTTAAGTGCAAAATAATATTAATTGAAGGGAGAAAGCTAAACTACCCACATGAGTTATAGAATCGTAGAGTCACTGAACTGTTTGGGTTGGAAGGGACCTTAAAGATCCTCTTGTTCCAACCATCCTGCCTCAGGCAGGGACACCTTTCACTAGGCCAGGCTGCTCAAGGCCCTCTCCAGCCTGGCCTGGAATTCTCCCAGGGATGGGGCACCCACAAGTTCCCTGGAAAGCCTGTTCCCCACCACCCCTGAAGTTATGAGACTTCACAGGTCCCTCTCCATCTCACATTCAGCAAGATCAATGACTGATTTCTGTCCTGTCCAGCAGCCTCACCTGATGTGCCCACCCACTCTCTGAAGGTGAGGGGAATGTCCTCACCTGGTGCCACTCCTGACCAACTTGGACTCTTGGAGGAGGAGCGCTCCTGTAGCAGATTACAGCAGATTTGTGGCTCCTTGCTGCTCACACGGCCCATTCACATGCCCTGGTGGGCAGCAGGGTGTGTGGGGTGGCTGTGTCCCAGCCCTGAGAGGTGGGAACCCC